GAGTTTAGCACATCGCTTTTGCTGAGGCAGGCTTTGAACTCTTCATCCGCCTGCTTCAGCTTCCCAAGCCACTGGGATTACAGAGGTGCACCACTGCACCTGGCTTAACAATAATCTTTAAAAAAAAAAAAAAAACATTAATTGCATCTTTATGCAGTTTGTGGGAACCAAGGAAAGAACCCAGTGCAATTCATTGAACTCATATATATTCACAGTAAAAGTCAAAAAGACAAAATGTTCTCTTATATCAGACTTGAGAAAGCTAAACTGTGAAAGAATATTTTAAAGAAAGTCTTCGAAGGATAATATAAAATACAGTTATTTCTTGGGTCTGGACACTGTGCCTAAAAACAGAACAAAACAAAATCAGTGTTCTGGAAATGCATTACTCCTGAAGCAATCAATTGTTCTATATACTTGGGACTTTCTTTCTTCCTTTTTTTATTTCCTGCAGGCATTTTTCACAAATGCTGATGAATAACAACTCACTTTGGAAATCTAATCTGTTAGTGTTTTTTACACTTACTAATGAGTAATTCACTGGCTCCAAAGATTTTAGGACCTAACTCAGTGTTCTCCACTGAATTCAGACATAAATAAATGGCTTAAGACAGGAATTGACGGTCTTTTTTTTTTTAAAAAAAAATCACTTATTATGGAATGTAGCTGCCTTTGGAGACAACTATAAGGAGGTATGACTATGATGGAGAGAGAAGGCCCTCTTTCCTTGTCTTTGCCTCATCAGATAACCCAGGTGGCCCTTTTCTTGTGATTGATGGGGAACTGATAGCAGGTTGGAGGGCTCAGTATGCACTGAGAAGTAGCTCTAAAACCTGATGTGACTACCCTTTTAGATGCTGAAGAAACCTACAGGCTCTCTTCCCAGAACAATACACATTTGCACATGCAAGAAAGTTTGCTTATCCTTTCAGGAATGTTAGGGCCTCTGGGATAGGATCACAGAATTAAAAAAAAAACAAAAAAACAAAAAAACAAAACCAAACAAACAAAAAATCCTCTGCCCTGGAAGTGGAAGTGGCAGACATACTTTGCATGGATACTTTTGTAGCATGCAGTACATAAAACATGGCCCCAAAATCTGAAGAAGTCAGTTCTTGCTCCTTCCTATATTCCCAGATTCATCCTTTCTATTGTTTTATGTTTCCTGTTTGTTTAGGTAAAGATTCCTCTTTACTTCTGTACCCCAGATTCCCTTCCCAGAGGCAAATATTACTAGCAGTTTCTGTTGTATTTTTTCAGGAATATTTAAGCATGTAGGAACACATAATATTCTGCCTTCCCAAAAGGCAGCATATCATTCACATTTTTGTGCCATGCTCTTTTTCTTTGTTCTATATTTTAGAGATTATTATTGTTAGGTCTTATAGCTCTGCCCCATTCTTTTTCCATGCTGTGTAATATTTCCACATGTGGCTCACTTATAATTGATTACTGCTTATTGAACATTTATTCTTTCTAGTATTTTTTAACTGTGAATACTGGTACAGCATATGTCAGTGTTTTGTGAAAGCATTCCCATGGGATAAATTTCTAGCAGTGGAATCACTCAGCCAAATTAAAATTTTTGGTAGACATTATCAAATTGTTCTCCTAAGAAGTTATATGTGGTAGATAGAATAATGGCTCACAAAGACATTTCCTATATTATTTCCTATAATCTTACTTAATAAAGGGGAAATTAAAGTTTCAGAAGGAATAAAGGTGCTAATCAGCTGACCTCAATATAGGGACCTTTTTGTCTGACTGGTCCCAATGTAATCATAAAGATCCTCAAAAATGGAGTAGAGAACCAGAGAGATATGGCAGCATGAGAAAGACTTGGCTTGATGTTGCTGGCTTTAAAGATGGAGGAAGGGAGCTTGGAGCCAAGGAATTCAGGCAGCTTTTAATTAAAAGTGAAAATGTAAGGATGCAGAAAAGGCAAAGAATGTAACCCTGCTGGTACCTCAATTTTTGCTCAGTGGGGTCCACAAAATTGGAAGATAATAAATTTGTCTTATTTTAAGCCCCAAAGTCTGTGATAATTTGATATAGTAGCCAGAGAAAACAAATATATGTATTTACATTCCAACCAGCAATGTTTCTCCATACCCTGTCCATTAGTGCCTTAAAAAAAATAGTTTCTTCCCTTCATATGAATACAATTATTTGAAAAGAAATGTTTATAATTTTGTGTCTTATAATTAGCTTTTTGGTTAAAAGGAAAATCTCAGTCATGATTGTCACATTCTTGTTCTTTGCACTTTGGCAAATTCTCATTTGAAGAAAGGTTTAATTTTCTCATCTGGGGCCAGGAAATAAGCAGGATGTACTGATGTGTCTTTTCTGCAATGCTGATGTCACTGCTGATCAAGGTGCACTGCAGAAACACTCTACAAGAAACACTTTACAAGAAAATATAAATTAAATATAATCTCTATTGATTCATTGAATATCCCCACAGCAAATTAGCAAAAACAGCTGTGCCTGATCCCTTCTCATTGGGTATATTTAGCTTGCCCTCATGTGGTGAGACTGCCCCTTATTCACACAATTAACCCTTACAGACTGTAGATCATCTCTACACTTAACATCTATTCCAAGATATTTATTGAGCATCTGCAATGCAAATTAATCAGGGTTCAAACACTTAGCCATGTAGAGTTAACAGATTATGGAGATAAACAGTAATCAGCAATCACAGGAACAAATGTGAAACTACTATTGTGGGAATTGGTCCAAAGGGATTATAGATGAATATAATCATCTAAAATAGTAAGATTCCACCCTATCAGAGAAAGCTGAAGAGCGAAAGTTGTGTGGGATCTGTAAATCTGTACATGTTAATTAATACCTACATTGGCTGACATCCCTAGATAAAGGATACAGAGTGAGGAAAACAAAGGACCAAGAAAAACTGTTTGGCTAGGTAGAATAGGATACAGAGACAAGAAGAATGTTCAGAGAGATGGAGGGAAACCATAACAGGGCTGGGCCATGAAACCAAGCAAGGAGAGTCCAATTTTATGAAGAGTTAAAGATTAGAAATAGCATATGATGGGAGGGTGGACAGTGTGTCTGTAAGGATCAATAGGATGTTCTTGTTTTAGGGGCAGTGATGTGGTAGGGCACACCTTGATTAAATATAACTTCTCTTTATTAGTTGTGTAGCCTTGGGCAAAAGGCGATTTATTTGGCTTTAGATTCTGCCTCTGTAAATAGGGAATAATATCTCCCTCAGAGTTATTGTGGGAGTGATTAGCTCTTTGTAGATCCTCAATAAAGGTTGATTTTCCCTTGCCTTACACTAGTTACTTATTCATAAATCTGTTTTTATTGTCACTCTCCTTGATAAGTTAATATTGGTGTTGATGACTTCATCACAGGGCTCATTCCAGTTAGCTGTTGTAAGGTAACAAATCAGATCTCTGGATTATAGGAAACCAGGCATCCACCTGTGTATCTCTTGGTATGGGGGAGGGAGGGGAGCTGAGCACAATATGCTAGGAATCAGAAGAGTAAACAATACATCATCATCACACTGTATTTTTCCCTTCCAGGGAAAGAAACATCAGTGACCAAAACGAAGACCCAATTATTCTCTAGGGACGTCTTTTTGTACCATTTCCAATTGCATAAATTTCCAATGCAAAATATTAATGATAAATGATAACAAATGTTTTTGTTGTTGTTTTCAGAGATAGCATTGTTCCTCCCAGATTTTTTGGATTGGCTAGAAGTGGCTGATCCTACCTCTCTTCCTTCATTTTTGTTTATCAAATACAATGAATGGGGGGAAAAAAAACATGATTTCCTTTACCAATTCAGACCTCTTACTTTGCCTGTCATCTCTGACAGGTTTTTACAATGTGACCGTGGCTCTGTTGCCACTAAAGCAAATGGGGACTGGAACAAACAACACACCATGTCCCTGTATTCCCTTTTTTGTTCCCCCAAATCTAGCCAAGTTAAGGGAATAATGAGAGAAATCTTGGTCTGGAAAATCCAGACACATTTTTATCTTGAAGGACACTGGCTTTCTCTTATGCACACCGGGAACTCGGGTGAGTGTTATTTGAGAAAGCTACTTTTTTACGTGTTCACCAGGACAGTTGCTCCTTGGGATGCTGGTAATAGAAGCAAACTAAGCAAGCTAACGTGATGATGTCATTGTTTCTGCAGTCTAACCTAAAACCCCTCTGTGAATGGAGACATAAACAGAACTGAAGGCACTGCGGGAAAGATACATTTCACTCATCCAGCTCTGCCACTGGACAGAACACCGTGAGGGAGAGGAGGCACTGCTTGGCATATCACTATGAGGGATGGAGTGCTATCAGCCTTTCTCCACTCAACTCTTATTGGAGAGGTCACTTGATTTCTTGTAAGCTTCTTAAAGAGCAAACGCGTACCTACTGGGACAGTTAATTATATTAAATTGGAAAATGGTTAACAGAAATTCCAGGACCTGGGGGGTAGTAACTACTAAAATGTGTAGTAATTAAATTATATCGGAGCTATGATTTCATTCCACTGTTAAAAAGGAAATTGTAAACATTTAAACATAGTGATTGGGACCACACAGAGTTGATGGAAAGAAATTAGTGCTCCAAACACCTGACCAGGATCCTGCTCCCTCGACAACACCCAGTAAGTCACTGCAGACAGTTGCTGCCCGGGAAGCCGCGCCCCGCACGCGCGTTCCAGGAGGTGTACCGGGCCTCGCTTGTGTTCTAGGGTCGAAGGTTGCGCGTTTGAGTGTCCATGGCAACGCGACGCTTCCACCTTCTAGAAGCCTACGCTCTGGCGCCGGTTGTGAGAGACCGGTCCCGGTGGGAGGGACCCGGGCTGGGAGGGTCTGATGGGGGATCGAGGGGGTGGGGGGCTGGGGAAGTTTCTGGGAACACTTCCCCAGGGGTTGAGCTAAACTAAGGAAAGTTGGTCCAAGACCCAGCACAAAGGATCTTGTCATTCCAGATCTTTCGCCCGCGCAGGGAACGATGCCTCTGGAGGCGGTGGTGGAGTTGCAGATCCGGGAGGTAAGAGATTAGCAAACCTCTGTTCCTTAACTCCAAGTCAGACTCTTAAATGGTCTCCCCACCCGCCGCCCCATAGTTTTCACCGCTCTTCTCCCACTTGACACATACACATTATTTTCTTTGGGGACAGATCGTACCTTTTTGTCCTAAGATTTTTATATACGTTTGTATTCCTGGACTTCCTAACCTTTAATTCAGATCAACCTGTTCCTATTTTTTCCCCCAAAGCAAAATGTTTCTTAACTTCATTCTGAATTTGTTGTTTTAAAACAACACTACCTTAAGTCCAAGTAGGATTTTTTCTTTTTCAGAATAAAGATTTGTGAAAGAATTTTAAATTCTCCTTTAAATAACCATGGAATAATTTAATTTTTAAAAAGCCCCATTATTTCCTGATAATGTCACATTTATGAGCCAACCAAATATTATGACTTTGGCTTGCTAATTCAAAAAGGGAAATCAGTCAACAAATGTTCTGTAATTATCCACCACATCCTTCCTAAATGAGGTATTGGGGCAGGGGGCTTCATTGTTCTTATTTGGGAGACAGTCATTCTTCTTCTGCTTCCATTTTCCCATCATTCTGTAGTTAGTGACAGACTGACATTCAGCTTTGTCTCCAAGGTGCTAGGGACTTCTCTCCTGGCTACCATTAGATTATAAGACTAACAGGACACTGCTGTGGATTCTGGCTAGCTTCCATACAATTGGCAAATGCTAAAGTTTCATCAGACATGTAGCTGTGAAATAAAGATAATACAATTTTCCTGGTTTTGTTCCATTTTGCTGACAGAAAATAAGGCCAGACCATATCAATTGTGCTTTATTAATTGCAAGCTCTCAAAACTGCAGAAGGTGAAGAATCTCTGGAGAGAAGCCAAGTGATATTTCTTACATACAGGCAAAAATTAAGTTTTCATCTAACAAAATTATTGGTTAATTTTATTTTGATTTTTAAAAGGCATTCCTCAGTGTATAATTAACAATGAAATCAGTTGTCTATTCTACAGTACTTAGGATGTTCCAGAAAATCAGTTGAATTGATCTGTGCTTTAAAAGCCAGCAAACTCAGATCCCAACAGCTAAAACAGGGAATTCCATAAGTATAACTACAAACTGGAAGTTAAGCCCCCAATATTCAGACTTGTGGACACTGCAAGAAGAAATACAATTGCTTTCAAATATCTGGCCTGAATATTGCTGCAGTTACTATGAAGGATCTAAGATTGAACAACAAACCCAAAACCACTTAGAGATTCACTGTTGGCTGATTCAGCAAGTGAAGAGGTAGTTCGTGTTCAGGATATTGTGGAAATGTGAATTATTTTATTTAGGAGTAGCCGTTCCTCTTTTAAGTGTGCCTCTCACTCTCAGAAAGTTCATGCTTCCCCCCAATCAGAACCTACTTATCTATCACAGTCATTCTCCAGGTTCCTGTCTGCATCTCTTAAAGTCCATAGTCCTTCTATTTATAAATGCCAAAATAATTGGTCATTATTTTCTGAAGACATTAGTTCCAAAAGTAGGCTTTCTTTTCAGGTAGAGCAACATTTAAAGCACATACCTCTTTTTAGGTCAAATGAGTAAAGCCTACCATGCATTTGGTAGTCTTTGGTCTTATGATTTGAGGCAACATGGATGAACAGCTTTAAATGTAAAGGTCAATGTAAACAGAAATTTAGGAGTTTTACCTAGTGTCTGATATAGCAGCAAGCTCCCCTGGTGAATTTCAAGTTAAATACTGTTACATAAACTATGCTTTATACAGGAAAACGGAATTCCATTTATAAAACTATAGAATACAGGGTCATCCTCATGGTATATATGAAAAAGCTTTTGCACATACATTGAAAAGAATCACATTATTTTCCTTTTTTTTATTTATGGATAGAGGAATGTTATTTTTTATTCAGTAGAGATGATGGGCAGCAGAGTCTCATCTCCTGCCATGCTGGTCATTGACATAATAACCTAAATTCTCAGTTCTTTTGACTTTCCCCAGCAGCTTAGCTTCTCTGTCCTCTGTTGTGCCATGCTATTGGTTGTCAATAGAGTTAGACATGAAACCAGAGTCTCATACTTACTTTTCTGTGGGCACCTTAGACATGCCCACCTTTTAAGTATTTCTTCAAGTAGTTCTTGATTTGTCCTCTGAGTGGTAAAAAACAGTATTAGAGAATACTGGAAAATAATATTTAAAGACCTTTTGAAAGGGTGTAGGGAAAGGAGAGAAAGTACTATAATCTTTCTCACTGCCTAGTCCACAAAGATGGAAGAGATAATAAAGTAAAAAGGCTTACCAAGAAAATCAGGATTAAGAAGAAATCTCCCTGATGGTGGCAACAAATCTTCAAGGAATAAACTAGAAAAACTTTTGTCTTAAAAAGACTTTTAGTACTGCTTAAAGTCTAACTCAGAAAAAGGACTAGGATTAGTACATGAAATATCTGCTCATATATTTATGGAATGAAGATGGTGTTTCTCAAAAATTCAATTTACAAGTGATGTTAACTTACAGGATTACTATACAACACAAATCCTACTGTCAAAACCAGCAACAGTATAACCACCCCAGCTTGGTTTCTTTGCTATTGTCCTGGAGATATAAACAGTTGAATAAATATACAATAGATTTTTTTTTTTCTTTTTGCTTCCCTTTTTATGGCTGTCTTCCAAGGGCTAGCACGTGCTCTGGCCTAGCAACACATCAAGATGGTGGGATATCTGAAATCCTAAGGAAGCCTGAAAGAGGGGCAAGTGGGATGGTGGCTGATTTAGGCTGGCATCATCAAATTGTGGAAACTTTCAGCTCTCCTGTTGCCATAATCAATGAGATGGTGTCACTGTTGATTCCACAGTATAAAGAGGACCGGAGCATTGTGGGGTGAAAGCCAGCAGTAGTCCACGATGCTGTACTGCATATAGCCCAGAAAAAAGCCAAAAGCCACATCGGTGACATTGTGCCTCCCCAGCATGACCCTGGAAAGACCCAAGATGAAGGCCCACAGTACCACCAGCACCCTCAGTGGAATGGCCAGTACCAGGTGCTTCAGGATGAACCGGGACACCAGGGAGGCCCTTGTGGCATGGCCCGAGGGGAAGGAGTACTTGTCCACCGAGAGAGTGACAAACATGTCCATCTGATTGTGGGCCGGTCGGCGCCTGCGGACCAGCCCTTTGATCAGGGCCACCACCAGGAGGTCCAACAGCAGGGCGAAGAGTAGGTTCATCAGCACCTCGCGCCCAGCCCAGCTGTCGCTCCTGCATAGGCAGTACAGGGTGCCCAGCAGCCAGGTGATGCCGTGTCCCGAGATCTCCAGCAGCTTCATAAGGGGCCTCACGCTACCCCAAGACGAGCTCTCCCCTGCACACACCCCCAGCTTCTTGGACAACCACAGGTCGATGGCCAGCAGGGAGCGCAAGGCGATGCCCAGGAAGGACGGGTTCAGGTCCATGCGGTCCTCCTCGGGCAGTGAAGGAGGGGGCGCCTGCGAGGAGCCCGCGGCGGCCACTGGAAAGGAGCCGCGCCGGTGCACCGGGCTCTCGGACGCGCGCAGCCGGGCGCTGGTGGGGTCGACGCCCGCGGCTCGACTGCTGAGCAGGGACTGGAACTCGAACCTGCCGCTGCTGCCGCCGCCATGGGCCGGGCTGCCGGGGTTGCTGGTGTTGCTCGAGACGGAGGCGCCCAGCGGCCGTCCCTCGACGCTCCTCCGGGGGCTCGCCATCGCGGCGGGCGGCCCGGACCCCGGGACCCGGCGGGACTAGAGAGAGGCCTCCCGGCCCTGCAGCCTCTTCCGCTTCCGCACAGCCATCCTGAAGGGGCGGGGAGAGGAGCCGGCGAGAGCGCGATTGTGACACCTGGCGGAGACGTGGGAGGGAATTGGAATTTCCAATATGAAATAGGAGAGAACAGGGGAGGATGTTGATGATGGGAGGTACACGTGAGGGAATATGATGATGGGGGGACATTTCAGGGGCTCTGGAAGGCTAGGAGGAATAGAGCCCTTTAAATAAAACAAACTTTGCTTGTTCTCCCCCCCCCCCCCCCCAAGATTTCTTGCCCGGGAGTGTTCCTGCCAGACAAACAAGATGTGTACCTCGGGGTTTACCTCCTGAATCAGTACGTGGAGACAGCCTGCTTTCCTTCTGTGTTCCCTATTGTCATTCAGCAAATCCTGAGATTTAAAAAGGTGATCTTGACTTTCTCATTGTATTTTGCTGTCTGAAGATAATCTAATAGTTCTTGTAAAATTATTTTGTAAATTTTCTGTAAAAACATAACCCAAAGGCATTTAAGTATAGTGCAAAACTACAGTCAGCCTTGAAGTAAAATCACAGTTGAAAGACTTGCTTGTGCTTTGCAAGTCCCAGCCAAGTTCTGTCAATCTAGTGCTAAATACCCTGGTCAATGGTTTCTATTCTTGGAACTCCCATGACATTTTTTAACTGGAGCAAAGAGAGCATTTCTGAATGTTCTTGGAGGTGTTAGAATTGCATTACATTTAATAAATTGCAAACCTTAGCAAAAAAAAAAAAAAAAAACTTTCTCAGACCCGGAAAAATAATGAAAGACTATAACCAAATCAAGTTAAATCTTATAACCAAAATCCTGTAAGGAGACAAAAAAGCTCTTCTGATTTATTTAAGTCAAACCTCGTTTATGTAGCTATAGTGATAAGGCTAGATTCTTGTTCCAATGAATACAGTCATGACACAAATAGCCCAAACACTACCCACCCACTTCCCACCTCAGTATTTAAAAGAATATTCATTTGATTACTATGCAGTTACTGGCAATCCCCTGAACTTTTTGTTTTGCATTTGGAGATGGAATCAGTTTTAACCTCAATAAAGCTAATGATGTTTCTCTAAACAGTGTCACTAAGATCTTTTGGGCAGAGGGAAGGTTGGTAGGATAGGTCTGAAAGATGGTGCCCAGAAAGTGACCTGTTTTGACCTGAGGATGGGAGAGAAGATCAAGATTGATTCACTGAAGGGCCAGGGTTGCATGCAATATGTTTGTAAATCGCAGCCTATTAATTTAAATTAAAAATGTGCTAAACTGACTGGATAAAAAGAGAGAAATAAATGAGTATTATCTTAGAACATACAATCAGAACCCACAGGAACCTATTTCTCACATTTAGATGTTGAAAGTGGTGAAAATGCAGCCATTTTTCCTCCTAAGAATTTTCATATTAGTTTTATCAGTTTTCAATTTAATCTGTAGAAGACTTTAAAAATCTTTTTATAAGAAGCCCAAAGATACAAAATTGTGGAATCCTAGAATGAAATCTGTAAATGACTTTGGGCAGGGGGTCGTCTAGTCCAACCTCCTTGATTTGTTTAAAAAAAGAAAGGAATGAGTCTTAGAGTCACATTTTAAATGTCACTACTGCTCTGTTGAAAAGTGGTACATTTGATATTACTAGTCAAATATATCAGAACCATTTTTTTTTTCTGAATGAAACTAATTACCCTCTTTGTATGAGTTATTTGGGTTCATAGTGTAGTTTTCTCCTAGTCAATTCCAGCTCTTCTTTATCTGTTCACTTATCTTTCTTCAAATACTTGCAGCAAGTAGTGACATTTTCTCTTCCTTGGACCTTCTGTGTAATGCAGAATTGAATGTTTTAAAGCATTTGAATAAACAAATTCCTCATGAAAAATTTATGAGCTATTGTGTTTGAACAGTTTGTGTTCATCATTTACTCAAGATCACACTTGAGAAAATCCTCAGATAAGGGAGTATTCATTTTCCAGAGCTGGTATACAAAAATACTACAAACTGAGTGACTTAAACAACAGAAGCATATTGTCTCACAGTTCTGGAGGCTAGCAGTCTGAGATCAGAATGTTGGCAGGGTCATGTTGCCTATGAAGGCACTAGGGAAGGATCAATTCTTGACCTCTCTCCTAGCTTTTGATAGTTCCTTGGCTTTTGTCAGCATAATTTTAATATTTATATGGCTATTTATTCTTTCTGTGTGCATGCTGTTTAAAAAATTGAGGGCAGAGAGGCTATTAGGCTGGGGAAGATCCAGTGCTTTAAGTGCCTCCATAAGTAAACTGAAGCCCAATGTAAACTGTAAAATCAACTAGAGACTTTACCAATTATAAACTGTCAACTGTCCTCTTAACTAGAGACTTTCCTAATCAGAAACTGTCAACTAACCACTCTCCAGGTCTTTCCACTCCAACCAATCAAATGTATCTTCTTGTTTTATTTCCATGTCACCTATAAAAGCTCTCTGCCCACTTGGTAGCAATTTTCTGATTGAGTGCTGCCTGGTTCATGAATCATTCTTTGCTCAAATAAACTCTTGAATTTATTTTGTATAAACTTTTTAATACCTTCTGTGCTCAAATATCCCCTTTTTATAAGGACACCAATCATATTGGATTAGGAATCCAACCTATTCCAGTATGACCTCATTCTAGCTTAACAATTACTTAATGACCCTAATTGGAAATGAGGTCACATTCTGAGGTACTGGGGCTGGGATTTCAACATTTTGGGGGACATAATTCAAACCATAACAATAGTAAAAGATGCAGTTATTGAAATAATTTAAGCAAAAAATTACATTTGCTTAATAAATCCAACCCAGTAAGACAAAAATGGATTACAGGGAAATCACACAGTCTCCCATTTTTGTTCTTAAAGCAGATCTGGCTTTGGATCCAAGACAGATTTTTAACCATGTTTAACATTGTTTAAATGAGAACTCTGAAGCTTGAAATCAAAGTCTACTGGAAAAAAAAATGCTTTCCACTGGGTTGCATAATTTAGTGGGAGAGGCCTTTGTTTTAGTCCTATCCCAGGGCCTTTACTGTCAAAAACAAAATATGCAGATTTGGCAATAACTGAACAGAGCACATGTGCTTTATGATAGATTTAAGAGGCTCTCTCTCCCCCACCTCTGGATTCTGTGAGAGCGTAACTCCTAGTAGTGAGCTTTTTTTGTGTGTGTTAATATGTAGGCAGAATTTCTATTTTAATGTTCCTTCTTAGCAGAACTAATTGCTTGGGAAGAGAAATCATTCAGTTAACATTTAGTGAGATCTATTGTAAGCAGAATGTTTTTCTAGGTACTCAAGACTCAGGTTAATGTAAAATGTGCTTTTAGCAACAAATAGAACTAGGTCAAGTTGACGACATTTTAAGCATGTGGTAGATTTAGCCAACTCAGATTTCCTTGCATATGCTATTGTTCTGTTAATTTCTATGAATTTGTTCTATGTTCTATTTTTGTACTATATTGATCTTTTAATCATACTTGTTAAAAGTGTTTCTGTTGAGTCCTAAAATATTATATGGCTGGATTTTACCAAATAACATCCTAATTATTAGGAAGAAAATAATCTACAGTTTCTGTAAGTACCTATTAAAAAACTTAAAAATGTTTTTCCCATATTTTTCTCTGCAGGTATTTGAAAATGCAATAGATCCTGGAGCTGTAGCAGAACTTTTAGAAAGTAGGTACTCATTAAAGAAAAAAAAGATTATTCTGTGTAATTCACAGGTATATAATAGTATGCAGTTTGCTGTTTTTCTAAACTGTGATATTTCCATGTTTGATCATGTTTACATTCAAAAGACCTTATGGTAAATTTTGAATCATGTTTTTGATCCTATTACAAACTTTTTTCTAAATATAGATGGAATTTTCAAGATGATAAATTCTGTTTGGTTATTTATCAATATTAAGTGAGAAATCCTATACCCATTATTAATCACTCTCTATTCCCTGCTAACCCTCCCAGCCAAATGCAAATATGGATCTTTCTGTCTTTATAGATTTGCTTATTCTGGATATTTCACTTAAATAGGATTATTCAATATGTGGTCTTTTGTGATTAACTTCTTTTGCCTAGCATAACATTTTGAAGGTTCATTTGTGTTATAGCATGTTCCAGTACCTCATTTCTTTTTATGGCCAAATAATATTCCATTGTATAATTATACCACATTTTGTTTTTCTACTTATCAATTGGGTTGTTTGCACTTTTAGGCTATGATGAATAATGATGCTATGGATATTTATGTACAAGTTTTTGTATGGACCTATGTTTTCTTTTCTTTCTATCTATCTATCTATTCATTCATCTATCTATCTATCATTTATCTATGCATCCATCTATCCAGGAGTGAGATCACTAGGTAATATAATAACTATTTGGTTAGACTTTTAAGGAACTCCCACACTATTTACCAAAGCAGCTGAATCATTTTACATCTCTTCAGTAATGTCTGAGGATTTCACTTTTCTACATCTTGGCCAGCAGTTATTATTTGTCATTTTGATTGGTCTTTGTGGGTATGAAGTGGTATCTCATCATTAGTTTGATTTGTTTTTCCGTGATGGCTAATGATGTTGAGTGTTCTTTGCAGAATTGTCTATTCAGATCCTTTGCCTACTTTTTAAGTAGGTTGTCTTTAAAAAAAAATTGAGTTACAAGTGTTTCTTATGTATTCCATATATAAGTCCCTATCAGATAAATGATTTCCAGTTATTTTTCTCCTGTTCTTTGGGTTGGCTTTCATTTTCTTGTTGGGATTCTTAGAAACACAAAAGTTTTAAAATTGGTGAATTCCAGTTTGTTCTTCTTATATTGCTTATACTGTTGGTGTCATATCTCAGAAACTATTGTTTAATACAAGGTCACAAAGATTTACATGTAAAAATTTTATAATATTGACTCTTATATTTGGGTCTGTAATCTGTCTTCTGTTGATTTTTGTAAATGGTGTGAGTTATGGGCCTATTTTCATTATTTTGCATGTGACTATCCATTTGTCTTAGCATCATTTGATAAAAAGACTGTAAAGATTTTGTTTCTGTCACTGAAGTCTCTTGGCACTCTTATTGAAAACCAAGTTCCTATAATGTGAAGGTTTATTTTTAGGCTCCCAATTCCATTCCATTGATTCATATGCCTATTGTTATGCCAACATACAATCTTGATTACTGTAGCTTTGTGAGAAGTTTTGAAAGCAGAAAATGTGAGCTTTCCAGCCTCCAGTTTAGTTCTTTTTTCAAGACTCTTCTCAGGGGGATCACTTAAGTTTTTTCATATGAATTTTAGAATCAACTTGTTACTTTCTGTGAAGAATCTAGCTGGGATATTAATAGGGATTTCATTGAATCTATAGATCAATTTGGGGAATATTACCCTCTTAACAATATTAAGTCTTCCAATCATGAACATGGGATGTGTTTCCATTTATTTAGGTCATTTTAAGCTTATTTTCAATGTTTATAATGTTCAGTGTACAATTCTTGCATTCCTTTTGTTAAGTTTTAAGTATTTTATTCTTTTTGATGCTGTTGTAAATTAAATTTAATTTTTTTCCATTTTTAGATTGTTTATTTCAGTGTATAGAAATTTAGCTAAATTATTCTCTGATATTATATTCTGCAAATGTGCCAAACTCATTTATTGATTCTAGTTTTTGTTTATTTATTTATTTTTTATGATTTTATACACACAAAATTAGATTGTCTACAAATGGAAATAACTTTATTTCTTCCTTTATAGTCTGTCTGCATTTTATTTCATTTTCTTGTCTAATGCCCTGACTAGAGTTTACAGAACAATATTGAATAAAAACAATAAAAGTGATGTTACATGTCAATTTTTTATAGATGCCCTATATCAGATTGAGGAAGCTTCCTTCTGTTCCTAGTTTATATGTTGTCTTTTTTTTTTTTTCTTTGTGGTGCTAAGGATTAACTCAGGGCCTTGTGCATGCGAGGTAAGCACTCTACCTACCAACTGAGTTATGTCCCCAGCCCAGATTTTTTTCTTTAATTACAAAAGAATGTTAAATTTTATCACATGCTTTTTAATCCTTTATTTTGTTCATATGTTTATTTGTTTTCAGACATTTAGCCAATTTTACATTCCTGGAATAAATTTCACTTGATTATGGCATACAGTCCTTTCCATATATTGCGTTATTTGATGTGCTAGGATTGTGTTGAGGATTTTGGGATCTACAGTCATAAAGAGATACTGGTTGACAGTTTTGTTTTCTGGTGATATCTTGGTCAAGTTTTGCTAATACTACCCTCATAGAATGAGTTGGGATTTTTTAAAAATTTATTTTATTTTATTTTTAGTTGTAGATGGACACACTATCTTTATTTTGTTTATTTGTCTTCTTATGTGGTGCTGAGGATTGAACCCAATGTCTCACACATGCTAGGTAAGCACTCTACCACTGAGCCACACCCACAGCCTGGGAAATGTTTTTTCCTCTTTAGTTTATTAGTATTAATTTTCTTTAAACTTTTGGTAGAATTCACCAGTGAAGCCACCTGGGCCTGAACTTGTCTTCAGATTGTTTTTCAATTACAGATTTAATGTTTCTGCTTGTTTTATTTTAATTTTTTAAAATTTTTTTAGTTGTATTGGACAAAATACTTTTATTTTATTTATTTTTATATGGTGCTGAGGATCGAACCCAGGGCCTCGCACATGCTAGGCAAGTTCTACCACTGAGCCACAACCCCAGCCCCTCTTTCTGCTTGTTGTAGGTCTCTTCAGTATTTCTATTTCTTCTTGAACCAGTTTTGATAGATTATATCTTTCTAGGAATTTTTCCATTTCATTATCTAATTTGTTATCATAAAGTTGTTCATAGTATTGCGTTACAGTCCTTTCTATTTCTTTATGATCAGTAGTAATATCCTCTCTTTCATTTCTGATTTTAGTAATTTGAATCTTATCCCTTTTCTTGATGAATTTAACTAAAGGTTTCTCAGTTTTGTTGATTTCTAAAGAACCAGCTTTTGGATTCATTCGACTTTATTGTTTTTCTGTTCTTTATTTTATTAATTTCTTCTTATCCTTCATTATCTTCTTCCTTCTGTTTGCTTTAGATTTAGTTTGCTCTTTTTTCCCCAATGTATTAATATGAAAGATTCATTAGTAGGTAACCAACAACCACTTTCTTAATCTTTATGAATTTTTCAACTGAGATTTATTCAGTTGAAAGAATTAGGACCAAGGTCATAGGTAATAGCAGAATATCATAGAGAAATAATAAGAATTAAATGCTAGGTGACCTGAGGCAGTGCTGGAAAGAGGACAGAATCAGGAGCAGGCTAGGTATCCGGCCAACATAAGAGGTGGATTAAGAAATTTGAGGGGCTAGGGTTGTGGCTCAGTGATAGAGCACTTGCCTAGCATGTGTGAGGCCCTGGGTTCGAGTCTCAGTACTATATATAAATAAAATAAAGGTCAGTTTACAACTAAAATAAATATATATTTTAAAAAAAGAAATTTGAAATTATGCATCTAATGAGTCTGTGTCCACAGATAGTGCAGGTTAGAGGCCACTGAACAAATGTTCTGAAACAGAATAGTACAACAGTAAAACAGGGGTTCAGAAAGCCAGGTGTAGAATAAATAGAAAATCTACAGGAATCAAAGGTTATGATCATCAGAAACAGTAAATGAAACTTTGAAGGAGTTGATGGGATGTGGGTGTGCTCAAAACTCACAGCATCTAGAGAAAACCCTGGATCCTATTTATGCTATTCACTAAGACTAGAAAGTCAGAAAGAAGAGTTGGTGGAGGGAGTTTAACTTTGGACAGATTGAGTTTAGAGTGTCAGTGTAAGATCTAAATGGAGGTGTTTCATTGCTAGTAGGCAATTAAAAGCTGTAGGTATTTTATAAAGTATCCTAATGTACTTGTTCTTTGGAAGAATGGGATTTTCAGTGAAACATCTTGTGGGTAAGAACACTAGCCCTGGGAATAGACTGCGTGGGTTCCTGTAGAGCTCTGTCAGTGTTAGCCATGTGACCTTGCTATGCTTTTTTCTTTGAGATTTAGTTGTCTCATTCATAAAATTAGAAGATAGCTGTTACTAGACTCTTTGAGTTGTGGTGAGAATTAATTGAATACAAGGAATTTTGAACCTAAAACAAATTAAGTGCTTAATGGAACTGTTGGAGTGAAATTTCAGGCTATCTTGGTTTTTAAGTTTCTTGGAATTTATATTTATTTATTTATTTGGGGTACTGGGGCTTGAGCTCAGGAACACTCAACCACTGAGCCACATCCCCAGCCCTATTTTGTATTTTATTTAGAAACACGGTCTCACTGAGTGGCTTAGCACCTCGCTTTTGCTGAGGCTGGCTTTGAACTCATGATCCTCCTGTCTCAGGCTCCCGAGCCACGGGGATTACAGGAGTGTGCCTCAACATCTGGCTAGTTTCTTGGAATTTAAATTTTGTTCTTATGCATTCATAAATCTATTTTTATGAATGCATATTTTTCATAAATCTACAAAGTGAGAATTTATTTCTATTATCTATTTTAAAATATTTTTACTTCTAATATTATTTTGTGGGAATTATTATCTTTATTAATTTTGTATTGTAATACCATTTGTTTTAATTCACCTTTATGATTTGAGTTTTATTCTTGCCTCTAGAGATACTATAGATTAGATCATTATTTCTAAATGTATTTTGAACTCAAATAATAATAAAGTTTTATTGTATGTTTTAATTTATATAGTCATTGGTACACTGTCTTCGGTAAGATAAACTTTTATGTTAATGGGTCACAATTAGATTTTGAATTTTTAAGATGAAAAGTACACATTTTAATGCTCCTTTTTTTTTTTTTTTTTTGGTGGTACTAGGGATTGAACCCAGGGCCTATGTGCATGCAAGGCAGGCACTCTACCGACTAAGCTATATCCCCAGCCCCCCATTTTGATGCTCTTATAAAAACACTTTTTTTTTTTTGGTACCAGAGATTTAACTCAGGGGAACTCGACCACTGAGCCACATCCCCACCACTATTTTGTATTTTATTTAGACACAAGGTCTCACTGAGTTGTTTAGTGCCTTGCCATTGATGAGGGTTGCTTTGAACTCTTGATCCTCCTGTCTCAGCCTCCCCAGCTGCTGAGATTACAGGCCTGCATCACCGCACCAGGCATGAATACACTTTTTTTTTTAAGTATTTATTTTTTACTTGTAGTTGGACACAATACATTTATTTTATTTGTTTATTTTTATGTGGTGCTAAGGATCGAGCCCAGGGCCTCACATGTGCTAGGCGAGCACTCTACCGCTGAGCCACAACCCCAGCCCTCATGAATACATTTTTAAGAGACAAAATATTACATGTTTTGTCTGTACTTTCCTGGAGTTGAAACGATATTTTTATAACTCAGATATTCTTATTCTACTCCCTCGACTTATTGACACCTGAGACCTTGTTGGTGTGGCACTTATTTTTAATTATAATTGTTCCTTGATATCCATGGGAAATTGGTTCCAGGACCTCAAAGAATCCCCAAACCCACCAATATGCAATTTCCTTATAACGAATGATACAGTATTGACTTATAACCTATACCCACCCTCCCATATATTTAAATCATAGCCATATTACTTAAATGCAGTGTAAATAGTTGTTATTCTGTATTGTTTGGGGAATAATGACAAGAATATGTCTGTACATGTTTAGTACTGATGCATTTTTAGAAATATTTTCTATCCGCAGTTGGTTGAATATGTGGATGGGGAACCTATGGAAATAGAACCTATAAATATAGAGGGCTAGCTGCATTGTTGTTATTAATAATGTAAATGGAGTGTTATGGTAGTTTAATTTATAAAATTAAAATATTTAATAAAAAACTCTGACAATTTTTTGAAGTATTAAAATTCCACTGTTTTCCTTTTTAGGCTTCCTAGCCAGGTTTGAGTTAATACAGCTAGTGCCTCCAGGTAATGTGCCAGAAATGCATTTCTACACCAACTTAATTTTAAGAGGATTTTTACATGACAAAATGGGGACTGGCATTTAAACACTGAGCCTTTATATAACATATAACTTCTTATGCTTATATGTTTATATATGTGACCTTACTGTGTTTTTCTCTTTGAGATTTAGTTGTCTCATTCATAAAATTAGAGGATAGCTGTTATATCTTGGGGTTGTGGTGAGAATTAAAAAGTATATATGGAATCAGCCAAAGGTGTCTTATCAATGGAAGAATGGATAAAGAAAATGTGGTATATATGCACAATGAAGTTTTATTCAGCCATAAAGCAAAATGAAATTATGGCCTTTGCAGGAAAATAAATGGAACTAGAGACCATCTTGTTCAGAGAAATAAGTCAAACTCAAAAAGTCAATGGTCAGTTGTATGTTTTCTCTCATGTATAGAAGCTAGAAAGGAAAAAGGAAACAAAGGTCAGGGTGGATCTCCTAAAAATCAAAGGGCGATCAGTAGACCAAAGGGAGCAAGGGGTGGGAGGCAGAGAGGGAGAGGGGAAAAGTTAGGAAGTGATATTAGCCAAATGATATTGTTATATTGTGTGCATGTGTGAATATGTAATAACAAATTCCATCAATATGAACAACTATAATGCATCAATAAAAATGTAGAAAAAAGTTTTTAAAAAGTGTACATAATATATACTTCTCCTCTGCCAATCTATTGACAATTCCAGGACATTTTTTGTCACCCCAGAAATAAACCCCATACACAGCAGTTATTCCTCATTCCCTCTTCCGTCTAGCCCCTGAGCACTGCTCATCTACTTTATGTCTCAATTGATTTGCCAATTCTAGAATTTCATATAAATGGAAAGCTACACTATGTGGCTTTTTAGGTCTGGATCTTTCATTTAGCCTAATATTTTCAAGGTTTAGGCATGTTGTAACATGTATCAGACCTTAATTCCTCTTTATGCCCAAATAATACTCTTGTATACTCACCATGTTTTGTTTATACATGTATATGTTGATAAAAATTGGAGTTGTTTCCACTTTTGGGAGATTATAAATAGTGTTGTTATGAACATTCACATACACATCATTGTGTATTTCTTTTAGTTCTCTTGGGTGAGTGTGGTTTTCTACATTATACAATAAATCTGTCAAACTTTTTGGGAAACTGCCAAACTGAGTATGGTTTTTCAACATTTTTAGATGGTTGAATAAAAATTTTCAAGAGAAGAATATTTAGTAATGTGAAAATTATATGAAATTCAGATTTTATCATCTAAAAGAAAGTTTTACTGGAACATAGCCACATTCATGTTTAAGTATTACTTGTAGCTCTTTCACAGCACAGTGACAGAGTTGAGTAGTTGTAACCAGATGGCCTGCAAAGCCTAAAAGATTTACTATCTGTTCCTTTATAGAAAAAGTTTGTGACCCCTCTGCTACAATCATGGGACTCTAGGAGGAACCCATTCTCTGATGCTTTTGCATTGAGTCTTGAGACCTGAGCTGGTCCAAGAGGGTACAACCAGCTAATCTCATAAATAGTCTTTGAGCATGGCTCTGTGATTTTAGGGCTTTATATCTCTATGGTGTGTGTGTGTGTGTGTGTGTGTGTGTGTGTGTGTGAAAGAGAAAGAGAGAGAGAGGAGAGAGACAGAGAGAATCTAAAACCCAGAAAATTCTCTTGTGATCTTTGATCTTTGCTATTTACACATTTCTGTTTTTTTCTTTCCTGAGATGAAAATAACTTCATAGTCTTTACTTACAAAAAGGATCCAAAAATCACATCATCCTGAAAGAACCATTAAGCATGTTTCTTGGTATTTCTCTGTGATTAGAGCACATTGTTACAGACTTTTTATGTGTGTTATATACATATTCTATTCTTGTTAAAAAGTCAAACTCAAAAAGTCAGTGGTCAGTTGTATGTTTTCTCTCATGTATAGAAGCTAGAAAGGAAAAAGGAAAATTAGATTTTCCTCATTTTATGCCCCTGTTTTATTGTCTTTTTTTTTTTTTTCCTTTTTAGTACTGGAAATTGAACCCAGGGACATTTAACCACTGAGCCACATACCCAGCCCTTTTTATTTTTTATTTTGAGACAGGGTCTCACTAAATTGCTTTGGGTCTTGCTAAGTTGCTGAGGCTGGTCTTGAACTTGTGATCCTCCTGCCTCAGTTCCCAAGTCGATGGAATTTCAGGTGTACACCACTGCGGCCATTGCCAGGTTCACTTTTTTTTTTAGTTTCCACATCAGAGAGAGAAGCTATAACACTTTTCTTTATGTGTCTTGACTTATTTCTCTTAGCATGATGTCATCCAGTTTCATTCATTTTTCCTGCTAATGACAGGATTTCATTAAGTCTGAATAATATTCCATCATTTCTAATGATAATCTATACCTTGATTTTTGATAGCCATGAAAACCTTAATTAATTTACTTGTGTTTTTAAAGGGCTATAAACAGAATATCTGCAATATTTTGGGTTGGATTTTCTTATTCTACCTAGTTCACCTAGTTACCCATAATTTAAAATTTTTCAATATCTATTTTCCATAGTGTTATCCTTACATTTTATTGAGCATTTAGATTTTGTCTTTCACATATTTATAAAAATTATTTTTCCTTGGTTTATTTATGAAGAGTAGAATTACTAAATTAAACTGTGCCTTGTGAATCTGGGGTTAACTGATCACCCATAAGGTTCACTGCTACATCTGCATCTACAAGGCAGAGCATACCCATTCCCCATATCCAGCAGATAATAAGGTCCAGCTGAATATTGTCATTTGGATTTACTGTGTTTACAAAATGTGTAATAATTTATTTTTTTAGATTGATTTTTTAATTTGTTCTAATTAGTCATACATGACAGTAAAATGCATTTTGACACATTTATACTTAAGTGGAGTATAACTCCATAATTCTTTTGATTGTACATGATGTAGAGTTATACAGGTCATGTAATCATATATGCACATAGGGTAATAATGTCCAATTCATTCTACTATCGTTCCTACAATAATTTCTTTAAGATATATTTTACCATGTTTTATAGCCCCTTTTAAAAAAAGGTGATTTGTGAAAATCCTACATTTGAAATTGGCTTCTTAAAAATTTCCATTTTACTATATTGTGAATTATTTGCTTCCTTTTCTTCTATATTAAGTAACTGTCAATGTCCTTGATTAATTGTGGTGTTTGGTTGCAAAGTCCTGACATTTTAACCTATGTCTTTAGTTAGTTATAGTCAATACATACATATTTCCTCTTTTTTGATTCAGTGTTTTGGTATTTTACATGTGAACGTTCCTTTTTCTTAAGAGAGCATGAGAGAGGGAAAGTGAACCTGGCAGATGCCTCAGCTAAAGAATGGGGGCAGTGGAGGATTTTGAGTGAGGATCATATTCCTACCCATAATAATATATCACCAGAGCAAGTCAAGGGCCCCTGTGAAGTGATGTAGACCCAGGCAGCTATAGTTCTTTCTTCTACTTCTTGGTCAGCCCCTGCAAACAGAAAAGAACCCCACTCTGTCTGAATTTAGGGATAGACACTCTTGGATATGTCGTTACTTTTTAAGGCAGACAGAACAGAGCAGATAGATGCCTCCTACCTGCTGTTCAGAAATTCTTAGTGAAGGTTTTTCAGCCAAAAAGTGACAGGCTAAAAATCAGGCCATTGAGTTTTTTTCCATAAGTTTTTTTTCTTACTTGACCTAATTTTATGTTCAAACATATATCACTGCTAAGTGGCAAGTTATATTTTAATATACTAATAAGGTAGAAGTATGCTTATTTTGGTCTTATTTAATTTTGCATGAATTAAAAATTAAAAATTACCTAAATACCTCACTGTACAAAATTTAATTAACATAGAAGTATATAGACTCATTCATCAACAACTCCTAACAGATACTTCATTAACAATTAGTTGCATATGTTTTTAGATCTTTTAAAATGCATTTGGTATATATCATGCATTTAGTATATTTAACCAACCTTAAAATAACACATGCACACACCTCTACATACTGAATATGTGAGGTGCACACTATATTTTTGTAGATGTGGTGTACGTTAAATATGTGCATTTGCAACTGCTTTTAAAATTTAATTCATGTTGAACCGCTGCATATTTTTTATGTGACCAAAATCCATTTTTGAGAAGGCTATGAAAATAGTTGTCTGTAAATAATGATGATTGGAGAATATTTAAGCTGAGTGCATCCATACTGGTTCTAACTCACAAGTTAATCATATGCAAAGTGGGAGCCTTATTATGCTTGTTTTCTTTTTGTCCACAATCCTCCAATTTCAGATTATAATTTTAGTGGAATTAAGTTTAAATTACTCAAAATAACAATTTCACTCAGCTACAGATGCCATGCAGATTAACTGATTAATTGTTCAGCATATGTTATTGAGGGTATACTTCACATGTGTCTACCCTGTGCCAGTCTTTCTAGTATGATACTAGTGACTCCAGGCACTAATTGGAGGTAGTGAGCCCTCTGGATCTGCAGTCCTTGATACTAACCTCTTGCTTAAAGTCTTGTGTGGGCTGCACTGTGGGGTCACACAGGCTACATTTAGACCAATTTTTCTTTGGCTGATTTGTTATCTTGCTGTATTTTGCTGTATATATTACTTTATTGTTTGTTACTTTTTGCTTCTCTTTCACTTAACCATGGAAAGACATTTTCCCATTAGAATAGGAATACAAATAGTGTTACTAAGATTTGCATATGGCTTTATGCTAAAGAATGAAGAAGTCCAGTGATTTTGCTTCCAAAAATTAATGATCCCTTTGGCTCTTAGTTTACAAAGATGCTATGGACACAGGGGGGCAGTGTAATCCTGTTTGACAGTGAGCTCGGTACTTTTTATTAATCTCCTAAGCAAATACCTTATCTTTGGGTAATCCATGTATATTCAGTATAACTGTAAAATCCTATTTTAATGGGCACCCATTTACTTAATCAGAGCTTGATTTTATACTTCACCAGTTGTGTTCACTAGGTGCCAGCACGGAAAGTAGTTTCTATGAAAGTCAATTACTGGGAGTAAAGAGATAAAGAGTAGGTGGGAAACAGGTGGGAAGGTGAGTATAATTCTAAGATTAGTCTTCAGTTTCGTTTACTTCATTTACTTTGTTTGCCTCAGCTGAACTGCTTTTGAATTCTTACTTTGCCATGTGGGCATCATGAAATGTCTTAAATTCTGAGAGCTTCAGTTTCCCTGTCTGTAGAGAGAGAATCAAATTATATTCTCTCTCTAGAATCATACTGTCAATTCTGATATGCTCCATAGATGTTAAAGATTTCTAAAAACCAATGTTATTAAAATTATTGTTCTTCTTAAAGACACATTCATTTCCTTTTTTTTTCTTTTTTTGGTTAGATGATGCTACTATCTATGCCATTAGCCTATGGAGAACACTGAGTTCTTTCAAACACTTCATTTGTCCTGAGACTTGCTCAGCCTGTGAATGAGTTCATTATTCATAACTTTGACTCTTGTTGTAACTTCCCCTTAATATGCTGACATTTTCACACTTGGTGGCAGTTTGGGTGTCTGGAAAATGACCAAACCAGAGAAACTGTATTAAGAAGTTTTATAGCCTTCTATTTATTTTTCTAAATTGTTTCAGTCTATTTTTAAAAAAATATTTATTTTTTAGGTGTAGATGGACACAACACAATGCCTTTATTTTTATGTGGTGCTGAGGATCGAACCCGGGTCCCGCCCGTGCTAGGCGAGCTCTCTACCGCTGAGCCACAATCCCAGCCCCTTGGTCTATTTTTAATCTTATTATTCCGAATGTAGTAGATGAGCTCACTTCCACTTCTTTGACCTCTTATTTTAATCTAAATTCTTGCTGCATATAGAAATAATAATTTAGTGTTGTCATTTTGGATGCAGTGACAAGAACTAGCTGAAAACATTTGAAAGGTAAGAGGACAAAGGAAAAGCCTATTTCATACCACACATCTAGGTATTTGTTCCCATCAGGAATGTAACCATGTTCACAGAGACCAGAGTAGCGCTGGGACAACCCTTAGGCAGGTTTTGGGGAGCAGTCATGACAATGACAGGTAATGTCAGATGCTCTGCTTCATGTTACATGTGTTTTGTCATTTGTCCTTACAGTACCCCTAAGGTTAGGTAACTAGGATGATTTGTATATTTACCTAAAGAGAAAGCTGAAGTTATAACATTTGCATAATTACCTAGGGTCACATAGCTGATAGGTGGTGAAGCAGGGATTTGAAGCCAACTTTTACTGACTCTGGAACCTGAGTTTTTATCCAGTGGGCCACAGCCTTCAGTAGAAAGCTGCTTTTGTGTTGCTAGTGATAGGGAAGGAAACTGGTACACCACTTCCCATTTTTATGTTGTACTTCATTGTTCAGTTGGAGGAAGAGTCTGTTTTGGGCCAACAAGGGTGGAGAGGTCACACCTGTCACAGAGAACACTGTAAAGGGAGCACTAATGAAAAAGGAGCCTGGGATAAGACTAGTAAACGAAGCAGAAGACTGATCTCAGAATTGTACTCACCTGCCCACCTGTCTCCTCACCTCCTCTTTATCTCTTTACTCCCAGTAATTGACTTCCATGGAATCTACTTCTTTTCACTCCCACTTATAACTCTTTTTTAAAAAATGTTTTTTAGTTATACATGGGCACAATATCTTTATTTTGTTTATTTATTTTTATGTGGTGCTGAGGATTGAATCCAGTGCCTCAAATGTGCGAGGCAAGTGCTCTACTACAGAGCTACAACCCCAGCCCAGCACTTACAACTTTTAACTATACATTTATTTTTTGAGGTTTTGGTGCATTAATTTTAAATATATTATTTTTAATGTGTTAGTAATATTTAATGTATTAGCACTTGTGGACTACAGACTCCAGAAGGTCAGGAATTGTGTTTATCTTGTTCACCTGTATATATCCATTCTTTAGTACTCTTGGCACATAGTAGGTTCTCAACAAATATTTCTTGAATAATGAATGAAAAAAATCATTGAAAAATAAATGTAATCCCATCTACTTGGGAGACTGAGATAGAATTGGAAATTTAAGTTCAGACTGGGCAACTCAGCAAGACCCTGTCTTAAATTAAATTAAATTAAATCAAATCAAATAGGACTGGGGATACAGCTCAGTGGAAGAGTGTCCCTGGGTTAAGTCCACAGAATCACATACACAAAAAAACTCATTCATTTTCTTGAATGAATATGAGGATTGCATTTATCAAGTATTCACTGTGTTAGAATTATGTTGTTCTGTAGTTCTGAAGACAGCATCCAGTATGCTATACTTTACTGTTCTTCTCTGAACATCTTTGGAATTCAGTTTTAAAATGTTTGTCTTTAGGGCTGGGGTTGTAGCTCAGTGGTAGAGCGCTTGCCTTGCATGCATGAGGCCCTGGGTTTGGTCCCCAGCACCACATAAAAATAAACAAATAGAAATAAAGATATTTAAAAAAGTTTGTCTTTAACGATAATTCAAGGGGTCTGTGAAAGATGCTGACATTGTGACTCCTTTTTAGAGATGATTGTCTTAGTCTGCCCTGTAATTGTTGAACTGCCCTGAGTTCACACCTTTTTAGGGGCAGCCCTGTCAATAGAATAGTGAACAGAAAAGACAAAGTCAGTGTTTTCATAGAGGAAGCAGATCATGAATAAATACATGAACAACGACAACAACAACAGTGATAAATGTGATATCAAAAATAAAATAGAGTGATGTAATGTGGAACACCCCTTTGGGCTGAGTTGCTAACTTTCTGATGAGATGATACTTAAGTCAAGTCTATCATTTGATAGGAGGGAGCCAGCCATTCAAGGGCTAGGGGGAGGAATACTACAGGGAGAACAGTAGGACAAAATTCTGTAATAGAGGCGAACTTAGTATGTTTGAGGGACAGCAAGGATGGGCAGCAGTGATGACAGGAAACAACCCAGGGGGAGGATAATAAATAAAGTAGGAGAAGGTGACGAGAGGCCTGATTATGTAGAGTCTTGAAGGCTGGGGTAAGTTGCTTAAGTTTTATTTTAATATTTGGGAAGACTATTGGAAGGTTTTAAGCAGATGAAAGGCACAGTTTGATGTACTTAAAATAACACAGAGTGTGGAGAATAGGTTTGGTGGGCGATGGAAGCCAGGGGATCACCTAGGCGGCCATAGCAGTGACCCAGGAGAGAGGTTAAGGGGTGGGGCATGGAGTTAGGGTGGTAACTATAAAGATGAAGCAAAGGAAGCAGATTTTAGATTTACTTTGGAGATAGAGTCGACAGAACTTGCTAATGGAGAGCTGAATTTTTTTGGGAAAACATGACTTCTGGTTCGGGCCTGTTAGGATGAAGAAACTATAATGCATTTAGGATGAAGCTTGAAAGATGAATAGGATCTCAACACAATGAGAAGGAAGGAATAGCATAATCTGTGGGGAATACATTGCAGAGGAGGGAAGATTGAGGGACGATTCATCATCAGTTGTTGTGGATCATAAGCTGGATCATGTCTGGGAAGGCAAGTGGAAAGAAAATCAATATAATATTCCAACTGTAATATAAGGGAAAAATAAAAGGACAGATGTTTATAATAAAATGATATGCATGTCAGTTCATAAAACTGAGCATAGTGAGGTATTTAAATGTGACATGGTTTTCAAAATGCCAGACAGGTCTTGATGAAGATTCAAACAATACAAAGTAAAATTTTTCCTTGATATATGCTATACCCGCATTCTTAGAAAATTCAGTTTATTTTAAAATCACACAAAAAATGCTTAGTACTTATATGTAACACAGATTTAAGGTCTTGGCTCAGATATTCATCAGGCAATTTTTAGCCTGAAAGAATGTCTTATAGGACTATAGAAAATCATGCAGATAGCCCATTGTCCAAGAGGCAGGAGTATTGTGAGCACTGCAGGACACCCTACCACCTTTGGCTCCTGCCCATAAAATGCCTCACAAATGACCAGAATGTCCCTGGGGTTGATGAGAACCACCTTATGAGAACCACAGGTTTAGCTGTTCTCTGGGCCAGTGGCACCCCTGTTTGGCAGACAATGAACCCCAATCTAAATAAGTAATCTTTGTGTATGCAGGGGTGTGTCTGCCTTGTTCCTGTCTATTCCTGGGGTGTGGCCAAGGTTTGTCCTTGGTAAATATTTGGTGAGGGAAAGAATGAAAGAATGGTTGGAAAGATAAGTTCTCTTCTTTGTTCTGTTTTGTGGAGCAACCCTTTAGTCTCTTTAATCTGTTATGACTTGAGAGAATTGTTAAACATTATCCATGAGATAACGAAATAGTAGAAATTATTTTCCCCTTGAAAAACAAGTGCTGGTACCAAAATGTCTATTTTTACTTATTTGTATCTCTGCCATAGTCTGTCTGAACTTTTATTTTGTTAAATGTGGGTGAAGATACACATATTTGTGCTTTTCTCCTTCTTTTCTAGTGTGGGAAGAGTTGGCCTACTATGAAGAAAACACACGAGATTTTCTTTTCCCTGAGCCCAAGTTGACACCTTCACATCCTGGAATACATAGAGAGGTGCTTATGAAGACAGCCATAGGTTTTCCAGTAAGTGATCTTGCTCATCTGGGCTTCTATTGGGAGAGAAATTCTTGGAACATGAACATTTTATTCTCAACAGTGTTGATCTTGGACAGATAACTTTATCTTGCTTAGTACCTCACTGCTGTTCAGGGCCCTGTTTAGATGCCCTGCTCAAGATACCAAATTATACTTATTTCTACCATTGATCTGATGGTGGAAGTCTTATTATCCATTCAGGCTAAATCATTGACATAGTTGCATTATCACATAGCTATACAAGCAAATTGATATCTCAACTTCTTCTTATTGTGGATTAACAGAAAGATTTATTTAGTCATAGCAATTACGACTAAGTAAAGAAGCAATAGTGGTAATGTTATCTCTCATTTATTTTGTGCCTTCAACTTTTTATGCATAATATTTTTCTCCTAACATCTCTCAAGTTAGCCAAGGCAGATCTTATGGCCTTTATTTAACAGAGGGGAAATTGACAGAGGCCCACTAATTGTTATTACTGAAGGATCTTTCTTTTTTGTGTGTGTGTTTTGGTTTTTTGTTTGTTTGTTTTTGGTACTAGGGATTGAACCCAGGGATGCTTAACCCACTGAGTTATATCTCCAGCCATTTTTATTTCTATTTTGAGACAAGTAGCTCAGGGCCTCACTAAGTTGCTGAGCTTGACTTTGAACCTGTGATCCTCCTGCCTCAGCCTCCTGAGCCGCTGGGATTATAGGCATACGCCACCGTGCCCAGCCTAATGTCTGTATCTTTAAGCCCTTCAATATTTTTGAGACTTTGGCAAATATTACTGAAACTATTTTTTCCCCAACATCATTATCTTGTATCAATTATACTCATGGTCTTATGATATGCTTGCCTTTATTATGGTGAGTTACTGGGATATCGCTTTTCAGAAATTAAAAGGGAATAAAACTTAAAGAGAAACTCTTATATTGCCCAAATTCTCTGTTAAATAAAAGTCTTTTGTTTTGTTACATGGGATTGAACTCAGAGACACTTAACCACTAAGCCATGTCTCCAGCCCTTTTTAATCTTTTATTTAGAGACAGGGTCTCACTAAGTTGCTTAGGGCCTCCCTAAAGTGGTGTAGATGGCTTTGAGATCCTCTTGCGTCAGCCTCCCATGCCACTGTACAAGTCATCTTTAAACACTGGGCTGGAATCCAGCAGAATATCAAGACAAGGAAAAACACACTATCTTATGTTTTTCACATTATCTGTTTAACTTTATGGGTATAAACAGAAAGAAGGACTTGTAAGATGCTGTGTTTATAGTTATTTATAAATGTACATAATCATCAGAGAAGGAATTTTAAAAATGTATGGAAATAGTTTCTTACAATTACATTACTTCTATCAATTCTTACAATTACATTAATCGCACTATATTTTAAACAGTTTGTAAAAAGAAGGGCTCTGTTTCTCTCAAATATTCCAAAAAACAAAATAAAAACTGTGGCTGAAGTTTTAATGATAGCTCTTGTTCATTGTGTGCTCACTAGATAGCAGGTACTATGCTGAACTCATTACATGGATTTTCTTGTTAAAACCTTCTTCACCTTGTGAGCACTTTGTTCTGCTTTTCTTTTTCCTATTGTGTGGATGGAAAGCTGGTTTAGGGGGGTTTCAGAAATGTACTGAAGATCATAGAGCTGGTGAGTAGTAGATCAGGGGTCCTTATGTTTCATTGTTGGCACTCTTAGTGCATGATGCTAATTCTCTTGTATTTATTACAGCCCACTCCTACTTTTTTCCATTAACATTATAGGAAGTTATTCATTTTATTCTCTTAATTTATCAATTCATTAATAATTAGATTTCTTTCCTTTATTAAATGGGATTTTTTTGCATTTCCATATATATGTAGTTTAAATTTCACTTGGTACTTTAACAGTCTTCTAGACAGTATGGTAATGAGGAAAAATAGCAGCATCAGTTTAGGAAACAAAATTCATTTTGAGTTTGGAAATAATTCTGATGAATATGAATATTTGATATAAGATATAAAACAAGTTTTTCAAAGACAAGAAAAGAGAATCTTTATCTATCCCTCCTTCTAGTTATCTCATTCAATTTCATTGTCCCTTGATAAACAGAGTAACTAATAGCATGGACACTGGATAAGTTATTCAAACTGTATATTAGTTTAATCATGTACTAATGGAGATCTATTAGGACCTGCTTCATGGAGTTATGTTAGGATTAGAGGAGTTAATATTTTCAACATACTTAGTTCTGGATCTAGTAAATAATACATATTATGTAAGTCTTTAGCTATTCTTATTATGTATATATTTTAGATAATATATGTGGATTATGCCAACCACAGAAGGGCAATTAGGTTCTTGCATGATTTCAAGTTAGGATGAGATATGGAAAGAACTGTTTCTAGTAATTTAATTACTTCTTTTATGCTATTTTATTTTTAGGGCATTGCTCCCAAACTAGAGTTTTCTACAAGGACAGCCATCCGAGAATGTATGTTTCTGCATAGAAACAGATTTCATGTAAGTATAATCAAAAGACAGCAATAGAAATGACAGAATTTTTTCCACAAACTTAAATTTTAAATGCAACTGAACAAATAGAAACCTGTAAAGTTTTTTGCTAGGTTTCTATATTCACACTGTTCGCTCAGCCTATCACATTAGAGTGGATATGTTTGGCATGTATTTGGTATGGTGTAGAAGTGGATAATTTAGACATTAAAATCACAAGTTTGACATAATCGACCAGTTATTGTTCTGTTTGTTTGTTGATCTTGTGAACATTTTGTTTTTTAATTGATTTTTTTAAAAATAAATGACAGCAGAATGCATTACAATTCTTATTACACATATCCAGTATAATTTTTTCATATCTCTGTTTGTATATAAAGTATATTCACACCAATTCATGTCTTTATACATATACTTTGGATAATGATGTCTATCACATTCCACTATCCTTGTTAATCCCCTGTCCCCTCCCTTTCCCTCCCACCCCTCTACCCTATCTAGAATTCATCTATTCCTCCTATGCTCCCCCTACCAACCCCACTATGAGTCAGCCTCCTTTTATCAGAGAAAACATTTGTTTTTTGGGGATTGACTAACTTCACTTAGTATTATCTTCTCCAGCCCCATCCATTTACCTGCAAATGCCATGACTTTATTCTCTTTTATTGCTGAGTAATATTCCATTGTGTATATGTGCCACTTTTTTTTTTTTTTTTTATCCATTCATCCTCTGCAGGGCATCTAGGTTGGCTCCACAGTTTAGCTTTTGTGAATTGTGCTGCTATAAACATTGATGTGGCTGTGTCCCTGTAGTATGCTGTTTTTAAGTCTTTGGGGATATAGACCGTGGAGGGGGATAACTGGGTCAAATGGTGGTCTTGTGAACATTTTGTTTCCTTCTTTCTTCTGCTGAGGCTTAACTTCAGAGTTGCATCTGCAGTCCATCTTCAGTAGGTATGAAGAGCTCAGGGCACCTGTGCTCATCACCTCCACACTACCATCTTTTTCACTCCTAATTTCTCTTCATCCTCATTTTTATCAGTCTTTCTTTTACCTTAATGCACATAGCCATTAGAAATTCTTTCTAGAACGGAATGGAGAAGAAATGAAGATAAAGTGTAAAGCTTTTTCAAATACTTTAGGACAAGGTAGAATAAAATTAATAGTAAAGTGCTTATCCCTAATCTCATAGTAGTCGTAGAAAATACCTTGAAATTATGAACTACAGATTAAGGGGCACTATTAGAAGGGCCACTAATCTATGAAAATCTAACAGTTCTTACAGAATGGAGACCAGTAATTAATTTTAAGGACGGCATTAGCTACTTTCCCCCCACTATACTGGGGATTAAACCCAGGGGCATTGATTTATATCCCCAGCCCTATTTATTTTAATTTGAGATAGGGTTTCACTAAATTGCCCAGTCTGATCTAAACTTGTCATTCTTCTGCCTCAGCTTCCCTGGTAGCTTACAAGTATGCCACCTTACCAGACATAGTAATTGCTTTTAAATTTCTCTTTATTAGTCCTCCATTTTCTCCAGTTTATTTGTGATATGTTCATGACAATTTTTCAGTCTATCTTTTTCTTCCATTCTACCATTTTAACTTGTTTAACTTCCTTATAGTCTGCCTTCTAAATGTGAACTTTTAAAATGAATAACTAACAAAAGTATCACATTTATTTTAGAAAATGATAAAATACAGGTAAGAAAAAAGGGGACAAGATAAAAACAAACATCACCTGTAATTATTACCATTTAGAGATAAGCTTGACTTAAAAAATTATATTCAGTACACATACACATATATTTTTCTATTTTAAAAGATTTGGATCATACCATGAACATATCATTTTGTACATTTTTCACTAGTATTTTTCAAAAGTTCAATTAAATACTATTATATTCAGATTAAATTTTCTTTTATTGTAATATATATTATATATATGTGTGTGTGTGTATGTATGTGTGTGTGTATATATATATATATATATATATATATATATATATATATATATATTACTTCAGGAAGAAAGATGTAAGTCACGAATGCCTTTATCCACATCACGTCGACCAGTGTTTCCCTTAAATAATAAAAAGAAAAAGCCAAAGGAGAACAGTCCTGATAGACAGCCCAGAGGCACTCAGCCCCGGACGCCCTCTCCATATTCCACCAGACGTTTCTTCCTTGACAAACCAGCTCAGATGAACCTTGGAAACAACTTCAAAATCTCTGAAGAAGGGAAGCCTCCTTTCGTGGTTAGACATGTGAGCCTAAAATTACTTTTTGGAATACTTTGGAATGGTCAGGATGTAGATGATGATGTGAATAAAGGAAGGTTGGGCCATGAAAACAAATGAGTAGTAGTAAATAAAGAGGGAATTCAAATTAAGTAACAACTGTGAATAAATTATGTTCTTTCCTAGAATAATTCCAGGAAGCTCCTCTAAAGGTATCTCATACAGAGAACTTGCTTGGCAAATGTCAACATCCCTATTTTTAATTAAAAAAAATTATTCCTAGAGCATATTTCAAGAGTTTGTGAACTGCTGGGAGTTGAAGATAGGCTGGTGTGTACTCTCTCAATTCAAAACTGAAGTTTCATCAGTTTAAAAGAAAACTGCTTTGGTTTTCTCAATGAGATTGGTGTCCCAGCAGCCATACTTTGAAGAGCAGAGAGAATATGTTTGTAGGAAGAAGCAAGGATATGCCATATTCACAGCCATTAATTAGAGGCACTTTAAATTTATCCTGCAGGAAGTAGTGAGCAAATTTAATTGCTTTAGTTCTCTTAATCTCTTTACAATTTTTAAATGTTGTACTATAAAAACAATGGAAAATATGACAAAGTTCAAGAAAATAAATTACCCATAGGCTCACTAACATAGTAAAATCATTATTTCATTTAATTTGGTTCATTTTCTCTGTCTTTTTTGTATTCATAGGTTTTATCGAATTATAATTTTAGTGTATTTAGTGTATATACACCTTCATTTCCTGATATATTTTAATTAGCATTGCTTTTTATTTATTTATTTTTTTTTGTGCCAGGGATTGAACCTAGGGGTGCTTAACCATTGAGCCACATCCCCAGCCTGCCATTTTTATTTTTTATTTTGATACAGGTTCTTGCTTAATTGCTGAGGGGCTTGCTATGTTGCTTAGGCTGGTTTTGAACTTGTGATCCTCCTGCCTCAGAGCTGCTGGGATTACAGGTGTGAGCCACCATGAACATTGCTTTAAAAGAATTTTCTATATTATTTTATACTCCTCAAAAACATCATTCCATGTTCTAGTTAATGACTTATTATCCAGAATATTAAATATTGATAATATGTTAAGTTGATATTAAAGTTGCTAGTTGTAATGTTTCTGTATTTGACATATAGTGAGGCATAATAAGTCTGAAAGTCAAGGTACTGTTAAGATGATGTTAAAGTAGTTAGTTTTTAGGAAGTCAGAACTTACTGCTAGAAACTACCAAATAGACAACATACCTACAAATACTCTCAGACTGGAAGGGAATGTAGAAGGCTGAAATGTTACCTTGTGGCAATCCCTTGCTTTCAGAGAGATCCCTGCCTGAGCCAGCAGTGTTCATACTATTTAGAAACATGAAACTCTGTCCTCTCTTTAAAAGATCAAAATAAAGCTTTGCTTGCTTCCTACTCTGCTCCATCCTTATCAGTTATTAGAATGTAATTTGTGTTCAACTTTAGTTCCTTATGCTAACATGTAGCCTGTATCCTCATGTTCTAGCTTCAATGAAGCCTCAGTGAAGACAAGGACAAACAGTTTCTCTAACATACTTGGAGACTGTGATTTTTTTGTTTTTCAACTTTCTCTTTTCCGAGCTATCTAATCAATGATTGAGGAGGAGAAAGGCATTTTTAGGTAATAGGGATAATAGGGATAAGGGATAAAACCTACTTTAGATTGTAGTCTTATTTTTTCTTTATTTTCAGGTGGACAGTGCAAAGCCCTTTGGTGAAAATAGTTCAGAGCATCATTCACGAAAGTCTAGAAGAAAATCTAAGTTTCCAAACTTCCCATTTCCAATAAGAAGAGGTACTAAAGTTTCTTGTTACACCTGTACATAATTCTTATGAGAACAAGTGCATCCTACTTATTTTCTTTCATTTTGAGGAATGGACACCATGGGCCTGACTATGAAGGACTCTCCATCTGTGATGTTCGCAGAGGGTGTTCCCATGGAGCTGAGGCAACCAAGCCTCCAAGCCATCAATTGGATAGTCCCCCTTCTATTGAAGGGGACTGTCCTGAGTATTATTGCCCACAAAGTATTGCATTTGTCCTTTGGCAGAGCTGAAAAAGCAGACAGCAGTCTGTCTGGGTGTGAACTCCTTGCAAAGGCACCATTAATAGCTAACAAAAAAGCTATTTTGTCTGCCATTTTTTCCAAGTGGGAAAGAGTAAAAGATTGATGGTGATCAGGAGATATAGCATTTGCTATACAAGATTCCCTATCAGTGAGGAGGGAGCCAACTCTATCTGAAGCAGTTTGGTTAAGGCAGGGATCTCAAAACTTTAGATTTCAGGACACTTGTCCATTTTTAAATATTGTTGATTATCCAAAGAGCTTTTGTTGAGGTGGATAATGTCTATCAATATTTAGCATGTTAGAAGTTAAAACTAAGACATTTAAGAAATATAAAACACTAACACAAATTCCATTAGCCATCAGCACAGTGATATTATGACATGTCATGGTAGCCTTTGTTAGGATTGTGAGAAAATGAAAGTGAAAAGAGCAAATCATGGCTTAGTATTATTATGCAAACAATTTGACTTTGAAAATTGTTTAAAAGGTCTCTGGAACCCCTAGGGAGGTTCCTGGAGTACACATGGAGAATTGCTGGGTTAAGGCATTCCTGAGTGTCCTTTACCTTTTGACTTTGATTTGTGAATCATGTCAATAGTGAAGGTCAAGGTAGCCAATTCAACCATTCAACCATTCCTGAATGTAATCAAAATTATTTGATTAGGAAGGGATTGTGGTGGTTCCTTTTCCCTTGTCTCCTGGTAGGACTGGTCTTATCCCATTCCTGACAATAGAGTTCTCTGTCTTAGGCTTAAAGGTTTGTACTCTTAGGGGGCTGCAGAGTCTTTTATGGCAACTCAGGCCAGAATTCTTAGATCATGGTGACTGTCTGATAGTAGCTGACCAAGGTCAGAGTATAGGGTTTGAAGCAGAAAGTGCTTCATCACCTCTGACATTTAATTTAAGTTCTGTGAATTGAAATCATCCACATGGCCTGTAAAAGCAGCACTGTCTTTCCTATTACAGTGAAATCAAGCAGAAGCAAATGTCCTTCCCTGGGAAGGACAAGTTGGGCTTAATGCTGGTTTGAATACAACAGGACTCATATATCACAAGGTCTCAGCCTTTGTCGTTTCTTTATCCTGGCAGGTGGAAAACTAAGGTTCCAGAAAGGTTACAGGATCCTTTTTTTCTAATAAGTCTCCATGTGATACTGATGCTGCTAGTCCATGGGCTGCACTTTGAGAAGCGAGGGAACAAAAGCCAGCCCTCTGTGCAAGGAGTGCTCAAAATCAGAGCAAGGGGTTCCTAGGCCCCAGGGCAGGTTTGTGGCTATTGTTGCAAGGACTTTAGCACTGCCAATGCCCTGTCCAGCTCAGGGTGGCAGAGGAAAGCTCCTGGGATGAGATGAAAATGCACATATTTGTGACTCAGAAGATATGAAAACTACCAGACTTTGAAAACTCGTTTTTTTAAAAAGTCTTCCTTCTTATTACCAGTGGCAAGGGGGAATTTTCCATCCAGGAAAGGTCCTTGTTACTGCCTAATCCCCAGTCACACTGGGGGAAGCCAGGGTGGCATCAGCATCATCTTATAAATATTTTATTTCAAAATCATTTTTTTCCCAACCTGGAAAAATCCAACTTCACCTTAGTTTTCTCTATGTGAATTTATTACTTCACTTCCTATCATCCTTAGCATTTCTGGTATTCTATATACTTCTCATATTTATTTAGGGTGATAATGATTTCCATCGTTGCTGCTTTATATTTCTCTAAGCTCTTATGTATTCATTGTTTCAATTTAACATTTGTGTCTACCTTGGACAATATACTCAAGAGCTCCTGCATATAATCCTATAAAAACCAAAGAAAATGGCAGAAGAGGCAGAGTATATGAATTTTTTTAGACCCACATTACTTTTTTTTAGGTTCTGAGCATCTAGGCAAATATAGTTTTTTTCTGCATAAGGCTGCATAGAGGTATTGAACTTATTGCTTCACTTTAGGTTTGCTTTACCTTAACCCTTCCCATACATGGTGTCATTAAATTATAACCTCACTTTTGACTTCAAGAAGACAGAAATAGAATTGCAGTGACTAAATGGAGATTTAAAAGTGATAGTGTAATTTACAAGGGAGCATTTAAGATTTTTAATAACTCATTCATGGTCTAAAATTTATATACTGCTGTGGAATAAATGTAACAGCAGTTTTAGGACTAATGGTAATAATGAGTCATTCAAACACCTGTTCCTCTTTCTTCTAGCTTCTTCTCTTGACAGCATTGCAGCAAACATAAAGGTAATTTTAGAAGTAGCATTTGTAAAATGATTAATTTCCAGCTATCTTATGTCAATTACTGGGTTTTCTGCAATCAGTTGTGGAAATGTATTTCCAGTTAGTGCTGCTTATATGGACTTGCTTTAGTTTAACTAGGGTTTATGCAAAGAGGTGCCCAAGTTCCACTGTACTCTTTGCTTTGGGACTTATTAGTTTCCTCTCCTCTTTTCAATTGTAGGATGAGTTACCTAGGAGGGTGTATATAGGGGCCTATTACCTACTTTATCAGTAGTGATTTTCATTGCTTTTTCTGTAATTGAATGTTTATACATAGAGGTGGTAAATCACTTGTTCTTGAAGTTTGGTTTGTCAACGTGAAGGCTCAGACTTCTATGGTATGACTTGAAAATATATATGTGCAGAGCAAATTGAATATACTATGCTTTTTATGCCATAGCATTTAAAAAATTTGAATATATATGTGTGTATATATATGTATATATATATGTATATATATATACATGTATATATATATATATATATGTATGTATATATACATATATATATATATATATATATATATATATGTTTTCCAGACTAATAATCCCCCATCCTCAGAAATCAAAGTTCAAAGCATTAATTTATTTTGCCCTATTAATATATGCTAAACACACAGGCTGTGGGTTATTTTTCCTTGACCTTGACTCCTGAGCATTTTGTCTCTATAGTCTTCTGCATTGCAGTTCCTCTTTCATTTGCAGGGACAAGTATTTTATCATCTTACTCCCAGTTCTCTTCCTTGTCCCACCCAACCCCTGGCTCTAAATTAAGCAAACAAAACAAAAAAAATAAAGAATAATGCACAACTATTGTCATTCAGGTTATCAAAGAGCCAGATGAACGGATTGTCTTAAGGAATGAATCATCATCAAGTTTAAATTCAAGTAAGTTTGGAAAGCCCTTGCCCAAGAACCAAGGGGATGCCGATTTCCACCGGGAAGCTTCACTTGCCATCTCCCAGCAATCCAGCTCTACCAGCCCTCTGGATCAGCCCTTTCTCCGAGAAAGGTTAGCACTCATCTCTGCTTGAAGAGAGCACTGAGGTCTGGCAGCAGAAAAGCCCAGTCACTTTATTAGTTTGCTTTCTGAGGATACCTTGATATGAAAAAAAAAAAATGACTGTTCTTTTTAAAATTTACCCCAAAGTCAGAATTGAGCCTTTTCTCTTGCCTCTGGAAAACATCTCTAAGAAATGGATAGACAACTAACTGGTATAGATACTTTTTATCTATACATTTTTATCTATTGTAAATTTTAAAATTAAAGCTCTTTATTTCATCAGTATAAAAATCTTTGCTATAGAAATCTTAGAAAATAATGAAAAAAAAGTGAAAAACAATTTCTCATAGTCCTGCCAAAGACAAGTGTATTAACATGTGGATGTATTTTCTTTTTCTAGAGATAGTTTGTTTCTTTGTCTACATTATTATCACAGATAATCAAAATACATTTGCATATGTCTGGAGGACAGACCAGAGAGCTAAAAGCTAGAATCTGCATTTGCCAAACTGCACTCTGGGAAGGTGACCAAATGCCCACGTTCCTTGGGTCTGCCCTGAGTTGAGCCCTCTAAGTTCCAGGAATCCTCCAAGTCTTAGGCAAGCCAGCACAGGTGATCACCTTAACTGAAAATAATATTTTAAAGATAGTTATTTTATTTTAAATGGGAAAGATATGCCCATTTTCTTTTCTCTGTGTTATTAGTGAACAGAATAAGAAAGAAATGCCCATACCAAAAGAATACTGTTGATCATAAAGGAATTCATAGTAAATATATCCCAGAACCAAATAGGCCCTGAGATTTTAACAGGAACTATGTAAAATTTGAGGTACACGAGGAAAGTGGCAATCCATTTTTAGTGTTTTTCAGAATGATAGAATAACTATATTAAAATGTTAATTCATTTAAGGAAACAAGGTAATTATTTTAATAATATCTATTAATGTATGGTGAGTTCTTGATTATTGACTTTATTGGAAAATAATATAATATAGATTTTTGAAAACCAGCATTGGCACATTGAGATAGGTGGTTAGACCACACACTTATACCTGTCTCTGTGCCTAGTCTCCATTGACTCCTGGTTTATACTTTTGCCATCAGACTGGAATGCAGCAGGTTGGCAAAATGGGGGGTTATCCCAAATTCAGAAACTTGCAGAGAATTGATTTGATAGACTTTTATTTATTTACTTATTTATATGTGATGCTGAGAATTGAATCCAGTGCCTCATACATGTTAAGCAAGTGCTCTACCACTGAGTCACAAGCCCAGCCCTGGTAGAGATTGATTTGAAATGGAGAGTGGGAAGAACCTTTAACTGATGGTGATTGGGAGACTTGGCTCTCATGCTTGTCTTATAAGTGCTGTTTGATCTCTCACAAATATCCAACCTTTTAGACCTCAGTTTTGTGATCCTTAAGATGAATGTGATGATCAAAGATCCATCTTCTTTCAACCAGCAATTAATTCTCTGCTGCCAGAAGTAGGAAAAGCCCACAGCTTTTGTCCGTGTGTTGTATTTATATACATCTTCCAAATTCCTTAGAATCAGTTCAGCAAAATTTTCTGAGAGACTGAACTGAGTATGCAGTTATTGGGCAACTGTTATGTGCCATTTACACGGTCATGACATGTCTGCTTCCCAGTTGCTTACACACTAGATGAGAAGGCAGACAGAATCCCATCCCATTAAGTATGAAATGGATTGTGTTATGTACTTAATGGAAGTACATTCCAAATGCAGGGGAAAGACGGTGCAGGAGGAGATTAATTCCTTCCTGAGGGAGATCTGGGAAGGCCTCGTTTATCCTTCTGCCTGTGAAATGGCTTATGCATTCATTCAACCAGACTTTTATGACTGTCTTTATAGAGCAGGTCAGAGATTCTCTGGATGACATAATTGCCTCATGTTTTTTGAGTCAGTATCAGTTGAGATTAGAATTAAGTGTATGGTTAGAGTGTGGAATCTCTATGGTTAAAAAAGTGTCTCAGAGGGAAAACAGGACTGTTAACCAATCTGCTCTGCCTGGAATGGGAATACTTGACATTTAACTTATTTCTCCTGACTCTGAGAACTTGAACCTAGCACAGAATTAAAAAGAAAGGAAAAATGTACAAAGAGCTTTCTACAGGCAGAACTTTGTGAATAAAGCAGACAAATGCTACTAGAGTATAAAGGAGGAGAATGGTACTTCTGGAATGTTTTGTGGAAGAGGGAGCATTTTCATTTGGCCCCCAAGGAAGGAGACTAGTTTATGATAGAGTTAATGGGAGTGAGGGCTTGGAGATAAGATTGCAGGGCACTGTCGGTCTCTGAGTTTTGCGGGGGATAGTGAGTGTCAGTGCTCAAAGATCTGAGGGGCAGAGGATGCCAATCTGAGGAATTTGGGCTTTGCTTAGAAGAGAGTGGGAAGCTTTTGCAATGTCGCCTTTAGGAAGGTGTGTCTTCAGACCAGCATTTTATTAGCTATTTATAATGAGACAGAGAATTCTGTGTGTCCAGAGTCGCTCTAAGCAACTAACTTTGGACCTAATTGGACTATGAGTTTGTAAATGAGGCCATAATCCATAATGACAAAAGAATGCCATGGCCACAGAAAGGTCATCCAGTTTGCCCATGGTTGTCCTGACTTTAGAGCCCAAAGTTCTGCTTCCTGGGAAACCTCTGGGTCCAGGACAACCCAAGAGATGGGGTCACCTGAACTCCAGAGGAGTTTAAGGCAGCTGTTTGATTGGAGGATATACCCGTCATATACTTGGGGAACACCTCATTCCCCATTGATTTTAGAGTAATTACAAAGACAGGCTTCTGGAACAGGAAGGGTTATCAGCACCTTGTCCCCAACTTACCAATGATTCTTTTCACAGCAGTACCATCAGAACCAGTCTCTGTGCCCAGATCCCAAGAGTGCATGAGAAACACCTCTTGAGATTCTCCTATCTTAATACTGAAATCAGTAAGGTCTGAGGTCATAGGGATAGTTTGGAGTGAGATTTTGGATTGAGATTCAGCCTAAGGGTTGAATGGAAGAAATGCAAAGTCCTTTGACTATCAAGGTAAAAAATAGTAGTCCCAAAGGAGAAAGGAACACTCTCCAGCCCAACCCCTATCTCTACCATCTGGATAGTGTCACACCCCCTTCAATGTACATCCTCACTCTTCCTTCCACATGAGAAGGTGAATAACATGGACAAAGCTGTAATAAATAAACAGCACTGAGCCAGTCTGCTGGCTCATCATTCTCAAAGAATAGAATCTCAAATGTAGAATAGATTGTAGGTAACATGCAACATATGTATTTATACTGTATGTGAATGTGGGAATTCCTTTTGTATTTTGAGACTTATAAAAAAGCATACACAGTGTCCAGCTGGTAGCTATTTTTAAATGTTAATTTGATTTATAGCTTCAAAATATTTCTATTTCTTCCTCTTAAAAATTCTTGGAGAAATTTACAAATGATATGTGTGGTCATTTCTTAAATACATCAGTACTTTAGGGGAGGCTTTTGTTTGCTGTGAATTGTTTTTCGGGGTTGGTAATGGTTTGGAGTAGAGTCATTTCTACCCTTGGTGTCTTGTCTCTCTGGAAACCAGTGGGACATGCTTGTTACAGAGAGACTTGTGATCAGAAGCTGGATGGACCTGGAGCTATGCAGAAGGGCAACTGTACAGGAGTTATTAGCTTAGTGGTTATAATAACTGTATTCCCAAATGCTCCTACCATTTCCAATGTTTGTCAGCCATAAATAACAGTAGAGAATGCTTTCATCTAAATTGCTGAAATTCTTTAGGCATTTTTAGGAAACAGTATCTATGCTTTTCATTATCAAATTGCTATATACACTTTTAGTTTAGTTTGACCACAGAATTTAGGATTTGGTATCTACCCCCTCCCAAATATGAGTGAGTGAATGAATGAATGAATGAATGAATTCACCACTAAGCAATAGTCTTTAAATACTTACTGTGGTATTTGATACCTACTATTCCTGGGATGAGCTATTAACCAGAGTCTCATTCCAATATCAGTCTTAGGAGGGGAGAAAGACATTAACCAGATAATAACAAAATGTTCACTGGTAGAAGTGCTATGAATGTGGTATTGGGAAATGGAACACTAAGTGCATATAATAGGTCAGCTGACCTCCTCTACAAAAGACGGCTCAGGTGACACTCTTTGGGAAGTCAGCAAAAGAACTGAGCCCAGAAGTATAGTTAAGAGTTAATAAGAGTAGGGATAGGGATTGGGAGGTGGTGGTGTTGTAGGCAGAGGTCTTGGCAAATGCCAATGGACAGGCAAAAATGTTCCATGTTGAGGAACTGAAGGACATTATAAGGTCTGTGGTTAAGTTTGGGGTCCAGGTAGTCTAAGTTAAATGAGATATAAAATGAAATCCTTGTGGTAGAAAATAAGGGCTTAAATTTTATATGAAAAATTGAGGGATTGAAAATTTAAATGTAAAAGCAAGATTTGTTCTTTAGAGAACTATCTGAAAAACACAGCAAAGTCTGAAGAAGAAAAGAATTAATTTCTCCTAGCCCCACATTCACATACAACCATTTTTTTAAAAATATATTGGTTGTTCCTGCTCCCTAGTTATTTTCTGATGTGTAAGTTTTATAAAGGTATTGAAATTATACCATGTTAGACTGTGGTTGTAGCTCAGTGAAGGAGCACTTGTCTAGCACGTGTGAGGCACTATTTTCAATCCTCTCAGAAAGAGAGAGGGCGGCGGGGGGAAGCACTGGTTTCAATCCTTAGCAGAAGAAAGAAAGAGAGGGAGAGGGAGAGGGAGAGGGAGAGGGAGAGAGAGAGAGAGAGAGAGAGAGAGAGAGAGAGAGAGAGAGAGAGAAAGGTATTTTGTCCATGTATAACTAAAAAAATTTTTAAAAAGAAATTACACTATGTATACCATTTTGCATGTTGCTGTTTTTCTTATGATTAAATTTTTAGTATCAACCCGTGTTTGTTATGTACTCTTAAGACAGTGTTATTTTTTAACATAATGTTTATTTTTTAAAGATTTAGGTGGACACAATATCTTTTTTTTTTGTTTTGTTTTATTTATTTATTTTATTTTATTTTTATTTTTTTAATTTTTTATTGTGGGTTGTTCAAAACATTACAAATTTCTTGACATATCATATTCCACACTTTGATTCAAGTGGGTTATGAACTCCCACCTTCACCCCATACACAGATTGCAGAATCACATCAGTTACACATCCATTGATTTACATATTGCCATACTAGTGTCTGTTGTGCTCCGCTGCCTTTCCCATCCTCCCCCCTCCCCCCTCCCCACCTCTCCCCTCCCCTCCCCTCCTCTCTCTCTACCCCCTCCACTGTATAACCCTGAGGGTCTCCTTCCATTACCATGCAATTTCCCTTCTCTCTCCCTTTCCCTCCCACCTCTCATCCCTGTTAAATGTTAATCTTCTTCTCCTGCTCTTCGTCCCTACTCTGATCTTAGTTACTCTCCTTATATCAAAGAAGACATTTGGCATTTGTTTTTTAGGGATTGGCTAGCTTCACTTAGCATAATCTGCTCTAATGCCATCCATTTCCCTGTAAATTCTATGATTTTGTCATTTTTTAATGCAGAGTAATACTCCATTGTGTATAAATGCCACATTTTTTTTATCCATTCGTCTATTGAAGGGCATCTAGGTTGGTTCCACAGTCTTGCTATTGTGAACTGTGCTGCTATGAACATCGATGTAGCAGTGTCCCTGTAGCATGCTCTTTTTAGGTCTTTAGGGAATAGACCAAGAAGGGGAATAGCTGGGTCAAATGGTGGCTCCATTCCCAGCTTTCCAAGAAATCTCCATACTGCTTTCCAAATTGGCTGCACCAATCTGCAGTCCCACCAGCAATGTACAAGTGTACCCTTTTCCCCACATCCTCGCCAGCACTTGTTGTTGTTTGACTTCCTAATGGCTGCCAATCTTACTGGAGTGAGATGGTATCTTAGGGTGGTTTTGATTTGCATTTCTCTGACAGCTAGAGATGTTGAGCATTTTTTCATGTACTTGTTGATTGACTGTATGTCCTCCTCTGAGAAGTGTCTGTTCAGGTCCTTGGCCCATTTGTTGATTGGGTTGTTTGTTTTCTTATTGTCTAATTTTTTGAGTTCTTTGTATACTCTGGATATTAGGGCTCTATCTGAAGTGTGAGGAGTAAAGATTTGTTCCCAGGGTGTAGGCTCCCTATTTACCTCTCTTATTGTTTCTTTTGCTGAGAAAAAACTTTTTAGTTTGAGTAAATCCCATTTGTTGATTCTAGTTATTAACTTTTGTGCTATGGGTGTCCTATTGAGGAATTTGGAGCCCGACCCCACCGACTGTAGATCGTAGCCAACTTTTTCTTCTATCAGACGGCGCGTCTCTGATTTGATATCAAGCTCCTTGATCCATTTTGAATTAACTTTTGTGCATGGCGAGAGAAAGGGATTCAGTTTCATTTTGTTGCATATGGATTTCCAGTTTTCCCAGCACCATTTGTTGAAGATGCTATCCTTCCTCCATTGCATGCTTTTAGCCCCTTTATCAAATATAAGATAGTTGTAGTTTTGTGGATTGGTTTCTGTGTCCTCTATTCTGTACCATTGGTCCACCCGCCTGTTTTGGTACCAGTACCATGCTGTTTTTGTTACTATTGCTCTGTAGTATAGTTTGAAGTCTGGTATCGCTATACCACCTGATTCACACTTCCTGCTTAGCATTGTTTTTGCTATTCTGGTGGACACAATATCTTTATTTTTATTTTTATGTGGTGTTGAGGATTGAACCCAGTGCCTCGCACATGCCAGGCGAGCGCACTTCTACTTGAGCCACATCTCCAGCCAAGACAGTGTCATTTTTAGTAGCTGTATAATACTTCACTCTGTTTACTCTGTTGAGCAGGTTCCATCCTGGTTCTCAGCCCACATGGAAGAAGATCCATGAAAGGGTATGCAGTCTTCTTACATCCCACAGAGCTCAGCAGCATGTGAACAAGGTTAGGAGTTCCGATGAAACTAAATCTTTATTGACAAAGTAATAAGGGAACTGGAACTTGCAGTCTAGTGAGGGAAACACACATTAATCAAGTAACTACAGGAATAAATGTACAACTGTGACATTTACCACGGAGAGTACAAGGTGACCTGAGAGTGTGCAGCAGGGGCAAGTGAGTAGTTAAGAGCCAGGGAGGAAGAGGAGGAGGAGCTTAGATCTGAGGAATGAGTGGCAGCTACTTTGGTGCACACCTTTCATGGAGTGGAGGTCCCGTGAAGGGGTCCTTTTAAAGGACTGAGAGAAGATGGTCTAACTTGTCTGTAGCACATTTCCTCTACACTTGGGAACCCAGTCCAGAGAAGAATATGGGGTGTGTGTGTGGTCCATGTAAGATTGAAGAAAGTTTTTCTAAAATTTAATAAGGCGATTTTGGCTGTTTGACTTACATGTGGGTGTTAGGAGTATTCTGATCCATTGGTAGATATATCCAGGACTTTATGTGTACTACAGACCTACAACTAAGCCACCTTTAACAATGCAAAAGAATACAAATGAAAGGTTAGCAGTACACTCGGTGTCTGGATATAACCATGCCATATATAGTTGAATTGGTCACCTTGGCTTGTTAAATACTGGCATGTACTAAATTTATGGGATGACATTTATAGGTGGATATTGATTACTGTAACAATGAGAGTAGTGGATTACTTCCTCTTTGTGAAGTTATTGGTTTTACCTTAATTCGCAACCTTTCCAAGTAAAGGACTCTCTTTAAAATGAAGAAAAAAAGAAAGGAAGGAATGGAAAAAAGAATGAAAGAAGGAAGAAAGAAAAAAAGGAGGGAGGAAAGGAAGGAAAGAAAGGAAGGAGGGAGGGAAGCTACATACCCACACATACAGCGAACACCACAGATTTGGGATGTATGGGATGCTCACACAAAAACTACTGATCTCTATTACGTTGTGGCAGTACAATTTCTGGATGTGTTTTATAGGAAGATTCTACCTTTGAAATAAATGATAACCTTGAAAGACCAGGCTGCTCTCCAACGAAATACCCACTGCATGAAGAGATATATTTTTAACTGCTGTCATAAGTAAGTAAGAAGCTTCAGTACTTATTATCCTTTTGTGAAAAAAAATTGAAGTTTTCTACCAATGAAGTAACTAAAAAATGTTGTGGACAGAAAATGTGGAGGAGACCTAAGGGCCGTGTTCTTCCTTCACCCAGTAAAACTCAGTAAAGAATGATGGTACATATATCTGCCAGCTCTCTTGCCTCCTATCCCACCTGCTGTCTTTATCTAAAGACCCTTGGGCTTCTTTCAGCTCCTTGAACCAGTCCCTTTCCTTGAACCAGGGGCCTTTGCACTGTTGCTTTCTCCATCTGGAATTCTTCCCGCCTCTGCCCGGGTAACTTCTGTTTGTCCTTCAGCTCTCATCACTTTCCATGACACTCCCTCCTTTATAACACTCTGCACTTATCTTTCATTAAGTGCGACACAGTTTTTTATTATTGTTTTAAATCAGTCTCTTCTACTAGAATGAAACCTTCATGTTATCCAGAACTGTATCTCTTGTCACTTGCCACTTTAAATTTAGCATTTTGTGCAACACAGGGAATACCATTTAACTTTTCAATTGGACATACTGGCTGTGTGTCCCAAACAAGAGTCTGCCTTGCCACCCTCATCTGCCATTATTCTCACATCATTCGGCCCTCCACTGTGGTGGTTACTTAGTAAACTTTCTTAAAAGTGAATGTCAAGTAAGGTAACTCTATCTCATATTTCAATTCAGATATGTGGCAAAGTAGTTGGCCGCATTGTGAGCTGTTCATCATTTCTCAGGTATTCTCTTATATTTTCCTTTCTGAACCAGGCCCAGAATAATAATGGCTCTAACTTTTAGAATGGTATTCTTGCCTGTGGATAGTTGAAAGCTTATTTCTGTGGATGGGAGTGAAGCTGGGGAATTCCTCTTCTGCCATCCTGCTGACCAAAGTCTCAGCTTTTCCTTATCAGATGCTTCCTAAATCCCAAGAATGGGTCCAAACACTTCACATGTATTAAATGAATTGATACTTACTTCTCACAACAACCATATGAGATGAGTACTATTATTAGTTCTGTTTTACAGAGGGAAACAGAGACACTGAGGGATTTAGGTACCTTGCTCAAGGTATATATCTAGTGAATGATGGAACTGACAATATGAACTTAGGAAGTCTGGCTTCAGAGACCATCCTCTTAACCATTACAAAGCTAGAGTGTGTGATAGGAGAACTCTGGGAAGAAAGACAGCAGGTATATAAACAAGAGCCCTTTGAAACCCAAGCAGGGTTTTCAGACACTGCCCTTGGATGTCTTCCAGTAAGATCCTATTGTATATTTCTCACTCCAGCCTCATCAAAATAATTGAGTCTTTTTAAACAATAAAGGAGTATGGGATAACCTGCTAGATTTTCACTATAGTCAGGCTCCTGAAAGTCTGCTTTAAGGATCATTTTTTGCTTTAGGTCACAATTCACCTTGCCCCAGGGCTGGCCAGGTCTCCTCATCTTTATCACAGAGGAATGTGGAGGACAGCTCAGTAATTGTCTACATTAGAACGTTCTGCTTTGTAGATTAAAGGATTCTAGGCCACTTAATCTCTGGTCATGAAAACAGTCATCTAGGCTTTTATTAGGTTGTTGCACAGAACATAGCCCACATAATTATGAAATGCCAAATTGCTTTGAATTTCAACATGGGTAACATCAAGTTACCTAAAGCCTGACCAGCTGGTGTGGACATTGATATGAGGGGACTCAGAAGAGGTAAAAGAAAAAAGCTATAAATTCTGTCTTGGAAAATGGATTTCCTACAAATCAGGAGTCACCACCCCCCTGGGGTTTGGAATATGCTCATGCGTGTTTTCCAGAAACTACCCATTCTATCCTTTTACTAACTCTCCTTTTTTTTGTATTTTTAAAATTTATTTCTTACATGACAATAGTGGAGTGCATTAATTCATAATTATCCATTCCACTTTTTGAGCTATGGATTCCTAGTGAGGCAGGATCCTGGAGCGTCATCATGTTAGAGAGGTTCTTGTGAAAAACCTGGATGACTTTGGCTAGTCTTAAGCAAACAGGGCATTTATATAAGCAGCACTGTGTAACTAGGGAATATCCAAACAAGTAAAGTCAAGTAGACACAATAGCATAGCTAGCATCACTCCTGTGGGTCGGGAAGCGAGATCCCAGAGAGGATGCATATGGCACACTGTGCTGCATTTCCACCACGTGTTCCGGTCGATACCTTCCTCAAGGACTCTCCTGACTGCAGCATAAATGTCTGTCCTGTCCCTTCTCCATATCAGCTCTTTCATTGTCAGTCAGCTTTTCCTCTCCTGGCTTTCAAGATCTCAGGGAAACCTAAAAGTGGATTCTTAACCACAAAAAAAATGAGGGATTCTTAAATCCAGAATGATGAGTCCAACTATCTGGCCAGGTAGAGAGAGGATAGAGGGAAGAAATGGGTAGAAGGCATTGGAATACATCTGTTTCCTCCTTATTCTGGATGTTTTGGGACTTGGTACTTTTGACATAAAACAGATTATCTCTTGTATACTTTAAAATGGTGAATTTTACTACAAAAATAACAACAACAACAACAATAAAAACTCTGAACTCCTCAGGTTATCCTTAGTTCTCTTGGACAGGGAGGGCATGATTGCCTCTATTCAATATCCCTTACCAGTGTGTGAACTAACTGCCCATGTCTGGTACACTTTCTGAGAATCCATTTTTGGAGATGGGTTTACAAGGCCATCTCTATAACACTCCTGATCCCTATGCACTCAGGCCCTCTGCCTTCTGTGCAGGAAGCGGAGACTTAGCAAATTGCATTAGATCTGGCCCACTGGACTCTCTATCCCTGTGAGCATTTGCCCACCTGTGATTCCAAATTCCACCCTGTGGCTTGCCCTCAGGGAGAGAGAGATTGAAGTTTCTTGTAATGCCTCCAGCCAGTTAGTGAGGAACTTGGGCCTGAATTTCCTCAGACACTAGGAAGAATTATATCCCTGAACTTTTTCGAAAATTGAAGAATAACAAAAAGGAAATACATCAAGAAAAGATAAAGGACGCAAATAAATTGAAGTACTGGTTTCTAATCCTGTCATAGCTCATTGCCTCTAGTTCCTAAGACAGTAGCTGGTATGGCATCTAACTCACCTGTCTCCACTGGGTAGGGGCCATTTGACTTTCTTTCATAGGGGCCCAAACACCTCTGTGAAATCAAGCTGAAAGCAATTCCACCTCACTGCTGAGCCATGCCACTGTTCAGGGCTCTCTCTCTGACTTGGTCACCAGTTTCTGAGGGATTTGGTGATTTGTGAGGATTGAAGCAATGGATAATGGTGTACCTTTCTTCATCCTAGGAGCTTTCGGTCCTGTCAGAGACTAACAGACCACACAGGCAGTGGCTACCCACCCAAATCAGCAGCAAACTTATGGGTTAGCAGTTGAAGAATGAGCATTAGAATCACTGGGAGTGCTTTGAAAAATTTTAGTGCCTGGGCCTCACTCACTCCAGAACAATTTAATTTGAGTCTGTATAGGTGGTGCCTAACACTGGTATTTTTTTAAGGTCTCTCAGAGATTCTGATGCACATTTAGGATTGAGAATCTCTGCAATAGATTGTGAGTTTCTTGAGGATGGGGAGTTTGGAACACCCCCAAGTTCCATACTTAACCTACTCTGTGCTCAGTAATGATTGCTCTGTAGAATACAGTTGATTGGAATATGTTGGACAGTTCAACAATTATTTTGTTTGTTCCGAGCATTTGCTACACACACACGACTAGTAACAACGCTCACAATAATACTAGGAGGTAGATACTCCAAGTATTGTCATCCTGATATTTTACAAAGAGGTCAAATAACTTGTCCAAGGTCACACAGGTGTTATTCTGCACTGGGAATCTTGGGGAAAGAGGCTCAGAAAACAAATGACCTCATTTGTTTTCATTGGCATAGTCTGAGAAAAGCTAAATGCCAAGAAGGGTAGTATGAAATAATCTTTTTCTCTTTGATTGTGTTGATTGTAGTGATGGAGTATGTGATGTCTCACATTTTACAGGGGAAAATGATGAAGGCTGGAGGAGGATCACGAAGAGCTTGCTCAAGACAACTACACATCCTTGGAGAAATGAACAATGATCTTTGTTGTCTCTATTGAGTTACTGGTGTCTAATCCCCTTTATATCAAACCCTGTATTCATTCTTTTTTGCCCAGGTAAGAATTATTGATTAAAATGTTTGCTGTTTGGGGCTCACATTTTCTTGTCACCTGGAACATTGTGTTTTGTTGTGGCAGGTGCTTTTCCATTTGCAAAGCACGTGTTAGAATTCTGACAAAAAGGTCAAGATGCTTTCTCAGCTATTCTTTATTTTTGTCAGTGAATGTGTTCTTGAAAAGCTTATCTTCCCTCTTCCTTCTTCCTTCTTTCTTTCCCTTCCTTTCTCCCTCCTTCCTCTTAAATTTTATATGCAACAGAAGTTGCTAATTGGGGGAATAACCTGATAAATCCTGCAGGAAACAATTGTCAACCTGATTTTCTCCTTTTGGCAAATCTGATTTTGTTGTTATTGTTGTTTTTAATGTTAGGCTTGATTTATATGAAGTACTCTTAAAATGTAGGAAAAGAGAATTATTTCTGGAAAAATTCACATTTTGTTTTAATGGTTGAATTTCTATGATAAATTTGTAAGAGGAGGCAGTTTCTTTGGATTGTGGTTTAAACTGTTCTGTTCCCATCCCTTCCTTTTTTCACCCTTAGCAATTCTTAATAAATTTAGATGAATATCAAAATCTTTCTCAAGCATTTCTCCAAAAGAACTACATTAAGTAAATAGGTTCCACAGAAAGGTCTGCCAAAAACCAGACTTTAAATTAATTAGTAGGGTACCTTTATGAAAAGCTTACATAGTTGGTGGAGCAGGAAGAGGAAGCAGATGGAAGGAAGGGTTATTAGAAGCACATTAGTTTTCATGGGCACAGACCCAGAGAAAAGGGGGTCTGAAAAATGGAAATCTTCGTTTTTTATTCATATTATAACCTAGGCATCTTCTTCTGTCATACTTGGTATGGTCTGAATGTTTGTATGTCTTCAAATGTTGAAATCTTACCCTGGAAGATGAAAGTATTAGGAAGTGGGGCTTTGGGGGAGGTGATTAGGTCATGAGGGTGGAGCCCTCATGAATGGGATCAGTATCCTAGAAAATTAGGCCCAAGGGAGCTCATTTCTCCCTTCCACCACAAGTGAGGATGCAGTGAGGTGGTACCATCTACAAACCAAGAAGAGGGCCCTTAACCAGTTTCCAAATCTGTTTGTACCTTGGCCTTCCTGGCCTCCAGAACTGCGAGAAGTAAATTTGTTATGTTTAGAAGCTACCTGGTATTTGGTATTTTGTTATAGTATCTCAAATGAACAAAGACAATATACTAAAATTCTTTTAGTTTTTACAAGATACAGAGAGAGCTAGGTTTTCTTTTCTCATTATGACCACAAAAATTGGTTTGTTAGGAAAACAAAATTAAGTAGAAAAAGAGACTCCCAAAACAAAAACAAAACTCATTTAACTCATCTCAGAATTCTAGTCAGTTGGAGCTGGGGTTGTGGCTTAGTGGTAGAGTACTTGCCTAGCACATGCGAGATTCTGGGTTCGCTCTTCAGTATCACATAAAAATAAATAAATAAAATAAAGATATTGTCCTCTCCGGGCTCAGGCCTTAGCCATGTGACATGGCTTAACGCACCAAGAAAGTCAGAATCATGGGTAAATATGTGACCCACTATGGTGCCTCCCTCCGGAAAATGGTGAGGAAAATTGAATCAGCCAGCACACCAAGTACACTTGTCCATTCTGTAGCAAAACCAAGATGAAGAGACGGGCTGTGGGGATTGGGCACTGTGGTTTCTGCATGAAAACAGTGGTTGGTGGTGCCTGGACCTACAACACCACATCTGCCGTCAAGGTGAGCTCTGCAATCAGAAGGCTGAAGGAATTGAAAGACCAGTAGAAAGTTCTAATATATAACAAAACTGTGGTTTGTTTTTAATTGTATTAACTGGATATTCTGATGTGAATTGTATTAATATTACCCTTTAAAAAGAGATTTGTAAACTGAAGCCTTTCTAATTTGAATTGAAAAATTTTGCTGAGATGGGTTATTGTAATTCAGGGTTTTTTTTTCCCCCAGTATTTAGATGATAATGGCATGAAACTAAGTCTTAGGTATATGCTTACCTTTTTTTTATTTTATTTTATTTTTTTATTTTTTTTTTCTTTTTCTTTTTTTTTTTTTTATTGTTGGCTGTTCAAAACATTACATAGTTCTTGATATATCATATTTCACAATTTGATTCAAGTGGGTTATGAGCTCCCATTTTTACCCCATATACAGATTGCAGAATCACATCAGTTACACATCCATTGATTTACATATTGCCATACTAGTGTCTGTTGTATTCTGCTGTCTTTCCTATCCTCTACTATCCCCCCTCCCCTCCCCTCCCCTCCCCTCCCCTCCCCTCTTCTCTCTCTGCCCCCTTTACTGACATTCGTTTGTCCCCCTTGTATTATTTTTCCCCTTCCCCTCACTTCCTCTTGTATGTACTTTTGTATACCTCTGAGGGTCTCCTTCCATTTCCATGCATTTTCCCTTCTCTCTCCCTTTCCCTCCCACCTCTCATCCCTGTTTAATGTTAATCTTCTTCTCATGCTCTTCGACCCTACACTGTTCAACTTCTTAGTGAACATATTGTGCAAAATTTGTTTTAAAGGTAAAATGTGCTAAAAATACACAAAGGATATACATAAAACAAAGATTGTGTCCAACTACAACTAAAAAATAAAATATTGAAAAAATAAATTAAAAAAGAATTCTAGTCAATTAAAAGCATATATTCTAATAAGCATTCCACCTTTAGAAACGGACAAAGCAGGCTTAAATTACATGCATTTATAAATGTTCTTGATGTTTTTGGAACTACCATTTATCAATTTGTTATTTTGATATTACCTTTAAGAAGTCATCAAAATTTCAAAAAATACTGTGTTACATTAAGATTATAGTATGCTGGGCTCAGAGGCACACACCTGTAATCCCAGTGGCTTGCGAGGCTGAGGCAGGAGGGTCATGAGTTCAAAGCCAGCCTCAGCAAAAGTGAGGTGTTAAGCAACTCAGTGAGAACCCTGTCTCTAAATAAAATACAAAATAGAGGTGGGAATGTGGCTCAGTGGTCAAGTGCCCCTGAGTTCAATCCCCTGTACCACGCCCCCCCCAAAAAAAAAAAAGATTATGGTACAGTTCTCAGAAAAGGTCCATTTACATAAGTAGTTAAGGGAAAGAAGTCCTAATGAATTCATATCTCATTTTAGTTATTTTAAAATACATGAAACTCAGTGTTCATTTTTCAAAAATGGTTTGTGCATAACTTCTTAATTTAATAAGATCTTGAATGCTTGCTTTTATTAAGTCATTTTTTTATTAAATATACCTTTTTTCTCACTTTCTGATCTGTTAATTCTATTTTTATATTATTTTTATTTTAACTTTTTATTTCTCAAAGAATCATTGTTTTGAGGAGTCATCTTAGGGCTGGGGTTGTGGTTCAGATATTTTGCTTTTGGATTATGTAACAGCACGAATAATTTTGTCATGTATTGGGGTTTGGATTGCTGTGTGAAGATCTGTGTAATTCAACACAATAAAAAAAGAATCTCCATCTATCTTGCTTCAGTTTATAATTTATTTCTTGACTTTCACAGATGAAGATCTGTCAAATCCTGGACCATAATTTACAAATATATTTCATGAGATTTTGGTGAAAATCATTGTACATGCTGCTGTACAATGAGACCTTTATGGCCATTAGGCTAGCTGAAGCTTATAGGGCCTGTATTATAAAAGAGATTTTTAAAAATGAGAGTGTGAATAAAAGAGGTTTTAAGTGAAAAATGTGAGAAGCTTGATGTGTTATGTATTTGAGTTCAACCTCCCCCTGAATGCCATGTTATTCTCAACATACCCATGACACCACTCAATGAGTTTCATTTAAAGGGTCCTCTCATCTTTCTGATGGACATTCTGAGGAGTAGGACATTCCCTCTAGTCCATGCTATGACGAACAAATCTTCTAGTATTTCCAAGTGGACTACTGGCCCTTCCCTAATTAGGGGTTCCAACCAAGAAGTACTTGGGAACTTTCAGATTGTGTTAGCTTTCTGTTGCAGTGGCAAAATATGGGAGACAAACGACTTAAAAGAGGAAAGCTTTATTTTGGCTCTAGGTTTCAGAGATTTTAGTCCATGGTCAGCTGGCTCCATTCTATCGGCTTGTGTTGAGGCAGATCATTATGGCGGAGAGGGTATTGTGGAGCAGATCTGCTTACCTCATGGAGTCAGGAAAGTAGGGAGAGAGAACAAGTGAGGGTTTGGGACAAGATTTGCCCTTCAAAGTCAGGCCCCTAGTGACCTACTTATTCTGCCTAGGCCTCACCTCTTAATAGCCCATTCAGCTAGAACTCATCAATGGATTAACCCATTGATGAGGTTAGTGACTTCATGATTGAATCACTTTTCAAAGCCCCACTTTTGAATAATGTTGCATCAGAGACCAAACCTTCAACAACCTGAGTCTTTAGGGTTCATTTCAGATGCAAACCACAACACTGGTCTTGGGAAAAATTCCCTCTCACCACTTGCCTTGCCCTGGGAATCCTGACAACAGTGATAAGAGCTGCAATCTTCTGTTCTATTGGTCTGGGACCCTTCCATCCTCATCAATGGGTCTGGGTGTCCCATTATGGCAATAAAATTACTTTATAGGGGAAAGAGCCTATGCTTACTTTCACCTTCAGAACTAGGGAATTTGGCTAAAACAGGAACATGGTTAGGACAGAAACTCTTCCTTGGTGCAGATGGGTCCTTTTTAGGATGGCTGGGTTGACAAAGCCTCTTCAGCAGAGTAGGCATTCCCAGATCCAAAAATATCCCCTTGGATCAGTCTGTCTGTCTGTCTATCTATCTATCTATCTATCTATCTACTATCTATCTATCTCTATATGTTCTTTTCCCTTTGTTTTCATATCTCTGTTTT